GGAAGGCGATACTGCCAAAACGTCAGCTGCTGTTGCATTGTGTGTTTTTTGTACGGAACTAAATGCATCCTGTAGAACAACCTCGCGATTGCTGAACAAGAAAACGACACAGTAAATAGTGCATGTTGTCCACCGGTTATCGTTCATACGTCATATCGTTCATATCGTTCATACGCACTATCTCTCCAGTCCACCTTATTTTTCACAGTTTGCCCAACAGAAAGGTGTCTTTGATATTTGATCATTAATGTACAATGAGGCTTCGGATCCCTTTTTCTTACTTGCGTGATACGGGAGACTCCTAGTATATTCCTTTCGCTTGCGCGTTCTAAGACGCTGAGTGACTTTTCATCTTGGTCGAGTAGTGATGAGGTTTCTTACACATGCGTTAAGGCAGGAAAAATCGTGGAGTTTCCCTTTGTACATCCACGATGCTTTTGAAAGTTTCCCAAGTCACTCGCTTCGTTCTGCTCACCTCTGGAGCTAACTCGTTCATTACGTTGATCACACAACCTAGATAGATGTAACTGAAGCAATCGAAGATATTCGTTACGTTGAGCGTGAATGGGGCATACGAAACGAATCCGTTCCTCATGAACATCGTTTTTGTGGGATTTAGTCGAAAGCCAGTATTTCCATAGGCTTTATAAAAGCTGGCAAGAATTCCTTCCGCTTGGATACTATTTGGTATTATAAGAACACAACAACTCTCAATCCTGTTTAGGACGACGCGAGTGAAAAGTTTGTAGACGACAGGCGGTAAGCAGATTCGGCGATACTTGTTGGTATCGTGGAGGTGACCCATCTTGGACAACAACACGGCCTTTCCGGCCTTCTAAATAAAAACAACTCATACTGGCAGGTAACGTGTGAATAGCCGACCCAGCGAATCTTCACCATGGGCATCTGAGGTCCGGAGTTTTGCAACTATCACAGAATCATTATGTGGTTCTTCAAATGTTCAGATCTTATCCTGTCCGGAACCGGTGTGTTCAAATTTCTACCGACAAAATAGCATGTCAGATTTCGGAAGAGAGAATCATTAGGACAAAATATCAGTCCTCCTTTATTTCGTGATAGAAGTAGAAGACCTTCATTTCGTCGTGATATATTCAGATAGTCGCTCACCTTGCTCGTTTCATTGTAATCCGTGTGTTCCAATGTGGCGTTCTTCAGACGTTCTTCTTGGTCCAATCTTGCCGTTGAAATTTCCAATAATGAACTTGAAGAATATTTCGTTCTCTGTAGAACTGTAGAACATTTCTCTGTAGAACTTCGACAAGTCCACACAGAATGCTTCGATCTCCATGGGCTTTAGCTGCATGGCTGAGAAATTGAGTACCACCTGATTTGGAATTGTGATTATGTGCTCAAAGTAGTTCAGTACCTGGATATGACACCTCGGTTCTTAATTGAAAATGTTGGATCACATTTGTACCATTGCCAACGAGTTCCTTACGAAGATAAAGAGAGTAGGGTTAAAACCACAATGTATAACTTTTATCTGCTACCCATTATTTTTTCACCGCAGGGTATTATGTGAAATGCAACCACAATGTTGATGAGATTTTTACAAAACATGGATACCAGGCCAGACCGAACTGCGACCATCCTTTCCGGGGTCTCACGTGTTACGCACAGCACCATTGAGGCCCTCGTTTTGCCTTTCTTTCAGTCGGTCTTTTTACCATAACGGTGGCATGAGCATTCACCCGTCAACGGGAATGAAATGAAATGAACGAATACATAAAGTGAAGTTAGATATATGTGAAACATGGCTTGTACTTATAATAAACAAAAACTACAATAGATCTGTGTAAATAGGCATACAATACCACATAACCAAAAATTCCTGGGAGCACCTCAGAAAGGCATGGTGCCACTATCACATAGGAATTTCACAAAGACACTGCTACACTTTCCGCGCTTTTGGATGATGAAGAAACCCCCAAAGCCTCCTACGAACAGTCCCCAAAATGATTCGAAGATTATAACAGATTCTTTCCCCACCATGATTTTCTTCAGGATTTTCCTCACTACTATTAAGAGTTCAAAGACGGAAGCACGTCTCCACGGCCAGACAACATTGAAGCGTTTTTCCTTCAATCCGGAAAACATGAGCTTAACACATCCATTGAAAACATCTACACCTTACCCTAGCCTTTCCCAGGAGAGTTGCTGATACTGATTTTTACCTTGGTAATCGTTTGTTTTTTCTCGCAGTGTGTAAAAGAGCACTGCCCACTAAGGTTACTCCACTCGAGCGCTACTCCGATGGATTACACTCGATGCTAGCACGAAAACCCACATCGAAACAAGGAACAATTGCGGACAATCGACTCCCATAAATTCAGCTCTTAAAAAGGCGAAGGCGCCGAAATACTAGAATAAAATTTTTCATCATCCTCGTGTTGGCTTACCAATGAGACAAAAAATACCACCATAGAGATCCTGAGATATGAGCAAAACTCGTGACAGTTTGGCTTCGAACGCCTGACCATCGTAACCCGGGGCTTCACCAAACGAAGGTCTTGCTTTGTCACTCTTCCTGCCAAGTTTTTACTTCATCGGTCCGATCAGCAATCATCCGTCAACTGGAGACCAAAAATCGGCAGTGAACACAGTTATGCTAAACTGAAGTTCAAATTGCAGTCGAAACCACAAAAGCAAAAAAAAGTAAGCTATGGGCCCGTTGATGTGGTAGATAGTACTAAATCTTAGTAAGAGTAACCGCGGGTTCGAAGCTGAGCTGAGGTCCCGAGTTTTGCTCATATCTCAGCATTCCAATGCCGAGATTAATAATGTCGGTCCTGGGGTCTACTATTCGCTTATTCGCATCCATCATTCGTTAAAATCTTCCGAGTTTTTGTTTGTGGGTTTAGCTGCTTGAGGAGTGTTGCCTTTATGAGTGTGACACTGAGTGCTCGTTGAGTAGATTTTCCCGGAGTCCTGGGATGGCCGTGCTGGAGCGTTCCTGCGTAAATCTGAAGGAGTAAGTAAGTTGGGCTAAGATAAGTCTGGCTCCAATTTCCCACCTCCTGAAGGACGAGAGGGAATGGTGAGTCCAAAACGTAGAACCAGCACCTTTCTTGTGATGAACGGCATCAGTGCAACAGCGCTACTCGCCCCTCACCAAACAAATTCATAATTCAAAACTTTTCATAATTCAAGGTCTAGAAACAGTAATTCCCACGACCGACTTTCCATTAACCTCGGCATTCATCAACACTCGACTAGAATCACTGCGGCTCTAAAGAAGATGGTAAGGTGCTAGCGTCAACTGCAGCAAGGTTTTATAACCTTGAATAAGCTCTCGATATTCTTATTGAGCAAGGACGAGGTGTTACTTCATTCTTTATTCCGCTAAAGCTGACGTTTCAGGCAGTAGCGCCTTCATCAGAGCCTGGCAGGTTGTACTGATAGGCAGTTTACTATGTCAAACGCTCCAATAACACATACAGAAAGATGAAAATCTAAATCGCAATCACACGACCAACAGTTTCTCGAAAAACCCACCGTTTATTACGTGTCCTCCACTGAGAAGGAGCAGTTGATCAGAGTCGCATATGACTGCAGCACCCCACATCAAAAGTTGATGTGAAGGTACGGGACGAGATCGCGTGTGATCACCGGGTATTCCTCCCTGCTATTCATTCTAGGGTTCTTCTCAAGTATCCCGAAAGCCTGAAGAAGTTTGCGAGCTGGTGTTTTGGTATCCTGTACAAGAATCGTATGAAATCATCTCCGCTGTGCATTTGTGCATATAGAGGCGATACTGCCGAAACGTCAGTTTTATTGGAATAGAGAATAACGTAACATCTCGTGTTTGCTCAACAAGAACATCAAGGGTTATTTAATCAATGCCGACGTTAACAGAAAGTCGATCAGTCGTGGGATATAACTTCAATGATGCTGAAATATTTGCAAAACTCCGGACCGCAGGTGTATGCGGTGGAGAATGAACGCGCTATTGTCCTTACCGGGGAGTAGCGCACTTCACCACCACACCATCCGGGTTCTTCGTTTTGCCTGTCTCTCAGCTAATTCTTTCGACGGGTGATTGCTGATGGCAAAAGATCGATAGCGTTTATAGAACAATAGCGCGTTCGTTCCCCACGGCAAACACCTGCGGTCCGGAGTTTTGCAAATATCTCAGCATCATTGAAGTTATATTTCACAATATATACCCTGCCGTTAAAAAGAGTAGGCAGTAAATAATACGTTAAGTCGTGGGATTTGTACAGTGCGCTCAAATTGACTGTTACAGCGCTCCAATGCTAATTTCTGCGCGAATGAACAAGAAGTAGGTGATTTCGTCACTTACCGGGTTTTTTCTTGATAGTCTTGAAATTTTGCATGGAGAAAGTAGAAACAGGTAGATTTGTGAACTACCCTCAGTCTCTGAATGGTTTTGATTCTGCAACAGCAAAACTTGTTTCATTCGGCTATCAGAGTCATTCGAGCAGGTCATTACACTTACCACTTTGACGTTCGTTTGTGCATCTGGACTTACTAGTCAGAATGCTTGAAATATTTGTTGACATTGTACTGCTGTGCTTTTAGTGTACGTGTAACATGTGTAGTCCTACTAATCTACATGATTGTGGCCTGCCGGATGATCTGGCGGTTGTGGAAACACTAAATTATCTTCTGGAAAATGTGGAAGATTCATCTACGTTCGAAGGAACATCTTCGCAAGGAGCTTGTGGTGACTTCTCTTCTTCGAAGAAAACTTTATGTGCGGAGGATTCAGTAAAGGAGAGCAGAGTCTCTGAACCGGAGGTATTGCTTTATCCTAAGGTTCTTCCAATAGTATGGTTTCGTTTCAATATAAACCCTTTCCAGAAACCCGAAGAAGGAAGAGTTACGGATCAGCTTTCACAAGGTAACCGCGATGTTTTTAAGGTATGAAATTTAGGCAGATCCAGTTGTTTTCGGCAATAATTCGCCTAGTCTCTTAAATAGTTATTGATCATTTTGTTTTGTTTCTATAATTCCAGCTGAGAACAATTCACTTCAACTCTCACGACTACTCTATTGTCACACAAAATCTCAATGGTCCTTGTCCATTGATTTCTGTGGTCAACGTTTTAGTACTTAGAGGTCTGCTTCTCACCTTCTTCCTCCTTCCATACAAGAAATCGCTTTTAAGGCTCGGTGACGCTTCCACGAGCAAGCTATGTAACAAGGGATGCGCTAACACATTTGGTAGTTGACACTTTTTGCTGAAGCTAATTGTTTTGTTTAGTTACAGTTACATGCTTCAGGTCGCAGATGCTCTCCTACAGATGAGACCTAACAACATGAATGCTTGCACAGAGAGCAACTACGACAAAAATCTCGAGGATGTGATAAATCTCCTTCCGGACCTCGGCCGTGGCCTAGATGTTAATATCAGGTTCGATTCACTTGTCGTCAGTCCACTAATATGTTCTGTATAAAGTAACGAGCTAGGAACCTATGGTTTCTGTTCTTTCTTTGATAAGCTTACACGAGGTTGATAAATAGCCTTTATTTTTTCCTTACATTTCGACGTCTTCGTCTTCATCAGAGCCGAGTCGATAGTCATCGACCTCGTGTAAACTTATCAAATCTTGTGTGGGCTTATCAACGAAGGAACACATATTCATCGGTCATGCCGAGATCAAAGGAAAGTCGATTCTGAAGTGTCACCATGGTTTATATTTCGAAAAGGTGTTCTTTTCAGTGGCTATGTATTTCGATTTCCAGATTTCGAAATGTTACCGACTTTGAATTCACTCCGGCCTTATCTCTATTCGACCTGCTACGTGTAAATTTATATCACGGTTGGCTTCCAGATCCACAATTTGTTGAGATCAGTAAGTAAATTGTTTTAGTCCTGGTTGTTTACATGGCTCTTTTTCTTTCCATAACATTTTATCCTCTTTTGCTAGGTAAAGCGATTGGAGGTTTGACTTACAATCAAGTTGTCGAGCAAATCTGTGACGACGACAATGTCAATCGCTTCTTACTTCAAGAGTTTTTAAATGAAAACGTCTCCCAGTTGACTTATCATGGACTTGTCAGCCTCTCACAGGCAATGCATGATGGAGAGCTAGCCGTGTTATTTCGGAATAATCATTTTAACACAATCTATAAGAGAAAGGCATGTCATCTGTTTCTCATTTTGCGTCATAAATTAATGCCTATTGACCTCCATCCATTAATACCTATCCAATCCCCTCTAGTGGCTCGTGTGGCGCAGTGGTCGGAGGCACCCTGCAAAAGACATGTGATCTTTTCCGGTGCCCATAGCTAGCCAAATGTTCCATCCCTTCGGGTTCGGCAAATTGGTACCAGACTCGTCTGTGACAGTAGTAGCACTGGCTCGATACATCGGTGGAACACAGCGAGTCATTGTAAAGGCCAGACATGCATTCAGCCACCTCTAAAAGATCCTTGATAAAGTCGAGTGCATGACGTATCCCTCAGAGATTAATTAATGCCGAGAGCTTCATCGGAGCTTCAGACCAGTTTCAGTTCAAGGCTGAATAAGAAAACTGCACAGATTGTGTTCTTTCGATGTTTTACCAATTGGCTAATATCATGTAAACCTTGGAAAACGACTATATCTTTCATCCATTTGTTTTTATATTTCGTTATTTTTTTTTTGCATGTAGTGTTTTCTTCCAATAAGCTGTGCCATTCAGTTTACCACTCTAGGACTTACTCTACCTTCTTGTGTCGGACAGTGGTTACGTAAACGAGCCAACTATTGTATGGGAGTCTTTTAACAGTGTGGATGGGAATTCAATTTTCTTTGCCAGTGATTTTTCTTTTGGCTCTCCATCCATCGTTAACCCTCCCGAACAAGGAGTATGTGATACTGATTCCGAGTAAGTTCCTTCATTCGTCGCGTTTCTCAACGTCCTTCTTTTATACTTTTGAAGATTTCGCACTTGTAATCTGTTAATAAAGTTTTTACAGTATTTCCAGGGACAAAGTGCAAATGCTTTTTTCAGCTTCTTGTTAGCCCAGCAAATTCAAAGATATGAAGATGAGTTGGCCATGCAAGAATCTAAAAAGATGGCTCACCGAGAGGTTCTGAGTCAAGATCGCGATTGCTCATCCTCAACTAGTGAGAAGTACGTTGGGTATAGCACACAATCCTGTGTGAACGTGGCTTTGGTTTTGCTATAGTAATTGCGCGCGTCTATAAAAAGAAACTGTTCTGACAAATATTCCACTTTATTTTGCTCAGTTTTCTTCATGTGTGTAAATTTAAGAATGTGCTGTTGCCACAAGTTCCAATACAAGGATTGCCCTTCATTACGATTATGTAAAATCTGTTTTGCAAGTGTTTCAAGTTCCTAGTTACTCCAGTTGTCGAGGAATTGTAGCAAGTTATTTCATAACCAAAATCTTTTCGAATCCATTAATAAAAAGTCCTGAGAATAGTTACTTATATTTTTCAAAAATCTGGATCACCCGAGGTTTAGTCTAGGCAGATGTTGGTCCTTTCGAAGGAAATATGCATTGTGATTGATATGTATGAGAGGTTGTCGTTATTGAGAATGATGGCTATCATAGCACTCAGTATCAAAGCGATTGTAACTCACCACATTTTTCAAAGCACTAATCAAACGAAACATGGTTTCCTCAATCACATTCTCTGCAGTTTTAACCGCTAGTTGAGTGAAGACAGCAATCTTCTGTTAATGCCGTTAGACTCGTCCTTTTGCTTTTGTGCTTCCGCTGATTAGTTACAGAAATAAACACCGAATGCTTTATCCTTTAACTGCAGAAAACATTGGAGAGCTCATAATAAATTTTTGTTTTAAAGTTGAAATACCGTTGTTATAGCTCTCGTTGACCGCTCCGAAAACCGCCGAATTTTCACTCTAGATGAGAAGCCAATAACAGGAACCCATGTGACCACTTATTTCTGTTTGAAGTGTCTGGTCCGGTTTACAAAGCTCCTAATGTTGCTTATCCTTCTTCAATCATGTGGTGACCTACAGTTTTTCCATGAAATACTGATAACGTTTAGAATTTGAACCAACTGAAAACGGTTTAGTCCTTCGTTCATTAGCGTTATTTCCAGTCCCATGACCCTTGACAGAGTGCCTTATGGCAATGGCAGAACAAGCATATCTAACTCTGGACAAAAAGAAAGGAAGGAAAAGGTGTGTCTTCGTTTCTTTCCTTAGCATTCTTATGGTTATATATACATACATATATATATATATATATGTATATACATATATGCATGTAAACTGCCGAAAAGTTTGAGAATAACGAAACACTTGGACTTTTTATTCTTAAGCATTAGTTCATGGGGGTTCTTTTAATGAAAAACGTAGGCTGCAACAATAAAATGGTTTATAAATATAACTGTTTTTTAAGAAGGTTAAGATTGTGCTTATAACTATAGCTCCAGCTTAACTAGGTTCTATACCGATTTGGGCTCCCCAGATTTATCCCGTTGACGGGTGATTGCTGATGCAGTGATCGACAGAATTAGCTGAGAGATAGGCGAAACGAAGGACCCGCACGGTGTGGTGGGAACGCATTACTCCCCGGAAAGGACAATAGCGCGTTCGTTTCCCACCGTAGACACCTGCGTTCCGGAGTTTTGCAAATGTCTCAGCATTATGAAAGACCCTGCCATTAGGAAGAATAGCCAGTGAATAAAAAAGTTAAGAAAACGGATTAGATTACTAGCACACAGGGAAGTGGAGAGGCGCACAAACGAGATGCCCATGTTTTTCGGTCACTAAATGTGTTTTCTGTGTATGTTCTTATACACGTATATATATATATATATGTACATAGGTATATATACACTTATGCATATGCATATGTACTTACATTTATATATACATATATGAATGGCTACATATTATGTATTTACATACATATATACATGTACATGAAGTGTATATGCCACTGTATGCATTTATATCCATATACACACATTTGTGTATACACATACATACTTATGCATATATATGCATACATGTTCATATATATACACACTTAAATGTATATTTACACATGTATATACATATGCATATTGGCATATATGTACACACATATACATATACATAGGTACCTTCATATATATTATATATACATGGGTATATATATATATCTACATACATATGTACACGTATATGCACGTATATGTACTGTTGTATGCATTTACATCCATATAGACATATTTGTGTGTATACATATACATATGTATACATATGCATATATATATGCGCGTATGTATAAGCATACGCACAGGGTCTGGCAAAATAAAGTAAGGGTATTGAAATTTGGGTTCTTAGTGTTCTAATTTCTGATCATTTAGTGTACGATTTTGTAATGTCTGACATTGACAATATGAGTTCCATCGACTGTCGTTATGATTCGATCACTCCCGATTTGTTTTAGCGCATTGGCTTTCGTTTAACACTCACCAGTTACTTGATGTTCTGTTTCTTCGTTTGCTTTTCATCGTACTCAATTGAATTCTAATGCGATAGTAATGTGCACACTATATATTGCTATGCTTGTAGTAATCCATCTCTAATCTGTTCTCTGAAAGTGATATCGTATACGAGTCGCCCATGTAGATATTGGCCTTTCTCAACATAAATTTATTTCTAGTATATTTTCAGTTTAGATGCTTAATGGAATTTTCATATCTTCATTTTCGCTTTCTAACGTGTATAGTTAGTTTATTATTTAAAGTTTTAATGGTCTATGCAATATGTCAACAAAGTTCGGAAGTGCTGTTATGTTCGTTATATAGAGTATACTGCCGAGTCAGAGTTCTACGGATGTTTTTTGAACTGTTATTCTATCCCATAAATTGGTTTTTTAATGTTGTATTGGTGGAGGTGCCGTTGTATCCAGAACCCTACACATATCCCCATTTTACTACCGCCATTCATCTATTACAGTTCAGCCCTCGCTGTTTCACCGCACATTGCAGAAGCTGTTTATGATGGTGGTGAGCTGGTCGTTGCTAGAGCTAACTCATTGCTCTGTCCTCGAGTATCGATATCATGAAAGTAGTTCATTGTACGAAGTTGGATTTTATTCCCACAGAATCTTTCTATTCGGAGCTCGTTACCGTTGTGGGGTTGTGCTTTTGTTCTTATTAAATTCATGGTCATTGTACGTAGACCAATTCATTGCTTATTGAGCGATATGGCAGTGGTGGAAGCTATGGTTGTATTACCATGTAACGAAACAATTGCAGATTAAAAAAGAGGAAACATTACTTCTTTACACTACGGTTTCTGATCTAATGGTTTAAAAGAAAGATTTTCGGCAAAGTAGCACAGCTTCTCTTCCCTTTTCTGGTCATATCTTATAAGGCGTAATTATTTGGAATTTCTGGACTGAATATGACTTAGTACTTATTTAAACACTATGAACCGTCTTTGGACGCGTGTAGCGAAGTAGTCGCAGCCGTCCCGCAATATACATGGGATCGATCCAAGCGCCACGGGCACACCAGCTGTTCCATCCTTCTGGGGTCGGCAAATTGTTAACAGATTTGTCTGGGAGGACAGCAGCAGTAGCTCGATACATCGATAGGCCATCGCGAGTCATTGTAAAGGTCAAATATGCATTCAGTCACCTCCAACGATACTTAGTGAAGTCGAATGCATGACGCATCCCTCAGGGATTGATTAACTCCGAGAGCTTTGTCTTTTCTTCTTTTATAACCCTTCTCCAGAAGTAGTGCGGGCTGACACGTTTTCCATTTGTGTCCTTCCTGTTCATCGTTATCTATGACCGCGATTTACTTCGAACCTTATAATGCCAGCGAGGTGCTTCTCTTCTTCGTGTAGAAATTGTTTCCATCTGCCAATTCAGATGGTCGACGTGAGCCATACATGCATCTGCTCATCGTATACTTGGTCTTTGAAAAGGATGACTGCATGTTTCTGGAGTCCAGTCCACAATTCCTTTAATCTAGTTGTCACGTGCTCTTATATGACGGGTCCATCTTTGTCTTGCTATCGATGTATATTCACCTGAATCTCGATGATGGGATAAGTTCCGGCGACCTGGGCCGTGCATTCACACCTTGTCTGTGTGTCGTTCAAACGTCATGAGACATCGTTCAGGTGCTCTGGGGATAGCACGCAGAGTTTTGCATGTGGTTCAGTGTCAATCTAAGTCGCTGCTGCATACTAGAGGGACAAGAGAACCGTATGAGAAGGTGACCATGGAAAATCGGGTCCATTGGTTGGTGGATGACTTCTCCAACTGAGGCCGAATGCGGCCTGTGCTGCTCTCCTTCTTCTGTTTAACTCCTTCGTTTTATTCTCTGTGGAAACCAGGGTTCAAATATGTGGCGATCCCAGTGTTTGGAGAACCATACAGTTCGATTTCTTTCCCTCCACGCTATGGATTTTTCATGGATTGGTTTTCTTTCTTCCACTACATACCTTTTCCTACTTCGCTGAGTCCATAGAGGATCGTTTCAGTTACACTAGTACATCCCGAAAAGATCAGAATTTTTGAGTGAAACGAAAATTTGGCGCGCGGTTACTATCCATTAGTATTCCCTTCTGGTCCCTGTCGACTGACGTCATTATCCACTCCAATGCTGCAGTGAACAGCTTTGGCAAGATAATAAAGAGAAAGAGCCAATGAATCGATGAGAAAGCTCTGTCTTTGTGACGTAATTACGATATTAGTCACAGTTCTTGTGTAGCACGAGTCCACTATCGGTCGTTAAATCCCATAGTGTTACATTCGTTTCGATGTTAAGATGCTTTTCAAAGTCGACAAAGGTGTGCACAATAAAAGAATGAAGCTGTCGACGTTGATCAATTCCTGGGAGATGCGCCATGTATTCGACTTCATTAAGCATCGTTGGAGGTGGACGCATCTCTGGCCTTTTCAATGAATAGCGGTGGCCTACCGACGGAGCCACTGCTGTCATCCTCCCAGACAGGCCTGGTAACAATTTACCGGGGCTGGGATAACAGAGGGCTTGGTGGGTCTTCGGCGCGGGGATCGATCTTGTGTTTATTTCAGGGCGCCTTGAACCACTGCGCCACCCATGTACAATGGTCAGGTGATATTTCTGGCAGACATCTATGAACCCAAATGCAATTTGGAAGTATCCCATGCGGCAGAATCCCGTCCGAAATCCAATTTGCTTAACTATTTGCGCCTCATGCGGTCTTTGATCTAACCAGTAGGACGATTTTCAAGAACATCTTGTATACAACAATCAGCAAGTATCTCGGATGCTAGTTACAACGATCCCTACAGTCACTCTACTCGGGAAAGATAACCGAAATGTCTTTCACTGCTGTCGGATTTTTTTTTGTATTTAGGGACTCCCAGCTCGAAGGAGGTCGACTATATTATTACTAGGTCGTGGAGCTGGGTCTTCTTCTATGTTTTCTATCGCACTTCGAACTTCGGAAGGAAAAACCCGGGCGGTTTCTCTCCAGCGGAAATTTCGCGGTCTCTGAATGGGATTTTGGAAAAGAGAACGTTGATTTAGAAAGTTTCCGCTTTAAGTTCCACATCATGACTGGAAGTGGTACTCATCCCATCTTCGTGCAATCATGGCTCTCAGCGGAGCCTTATGTTTATAGGTTGAGGTCTCAACAACATTTCTTTAGGTGGCTCTTTGTTGTGCTGCTTCCCACAGTTTTATTTTCCTCTAGTGATTATAAATCCTTCTGCGAAGATATTCTGCAACTTGAATTTATTATCTATCGCCATAGATGTGCTGCGATACTGTCAAGCACCAGCTTCCTTCGGTTTTCGAGCGATTCCTTAGTGGTGATGGGGATATGGTCTGGATTTCTTGTTTAGGAAACTTGGGCAACTTAGAGAAAAGTTTCAAGTTTTTCCACAAGCAGCTTATCATCTTCCGTAGGGTCTTCTCTTATCTGTCATTGGTGTGAGGAGACGACTTAGAATCTCTACACGGAGACGGTGACGAGATATAGTGCAGAATGATGGCACCATGGAAAGTTGAAGAGCTACCTTCTTCTGTTTATGAGGAAGCAGTTTCTTCACATGAGTTGTGGTCTTAGGAAACGATTGCTATGTTCAATGGCGATACTCTCTCTTCTCCCGAAATGAATTTCCATGGAAGGGATCAACCGTAGACAGGAATGGAATGGGACAGTGTTCTGTATAATTTCGTTTTATTCAAAAATTTTGAATCCTGAATGCGTGTCCTAAATCCATGAATGAATGAATTCTTTCAATTCGTCATGATTTGGCATCATTGGAGTTAGGCAACAAAGAATTAGAAAGGATTCATTGCAGTTTGATTTCTACGACTGAATGTGGGACGAATGTAGTTCACTTTTAATGAGTGCACAGATTGGTAGTACTACCACAATAGTGTGGTGGTGAACGCGTTAACCCACGGAAAGGATAGTAGCGTGTTCGTTTCCCACTGCACACACCTGCGGTCCGGCAGTGGTTCTATCACAAATAATATCCTGCCGTGAAAAATTGTAATAGGCAGTAAATAAAAAAGTTGACATTGGTGAGTAGTAGTTGGTGATTCCGCCCTTCTTTTGGCACGGAGATTGAGGACGAAGAATGGTTAAGCGAGATTATATGATGACAGGTGTAATACGATTTTATGGTTAACAGATCGGTGAACTTTAAATTCTATCCGCTGCATGGATGACGGAGAATTTTCGCTGCATGGATGACGGAGAATCCCGTCATCTATTTAGCGTATATATCGGTCTTCCTGAGACGTGTGTGGCAGAGTGGTCGGATGCGCTCTACAACACACACGTGGAATCGATCCCTGCGCCCGTGGCCCACCAAGCCTTCCATCCATCCGGGGTCGGTAAATTGGTACCACAATTGTTTTGGAGGATAGCAGCACTGACTCTATACATCGGTAGACCACCGCGAGTCATTGTAAAGAACAGATATGCATTCATTGATGTCCAGCGATGCTTCATGAAGTCGAATGCATAACGCATCCCTCAGGAAATAACCAACGCCGAGAGCTTCATTCGTTATCCTTTATCGGTCTTCCTGTTCTTCGTCTTTTGTAGAGCAATCGCATGGAATTTGATACTACCAACGGCCGCTGTGGACTAGAGGGAGATTTGCCATCTTTGCGGCTAGTGGATACCAAGACGGCTGTGATTCCTGGTTTGGCTTACTCGCAACTGAGCTTCCCGATACAAATTTCGGACTCCTTCTCAAATTTGGAAATCAAGCTGGAGAATAAACTCCTTGCCATACATCGGAACTTGAAACGACACCCAGGAATATCTTCTAACCATAATCAAGCGGTAAACGATTAGGACAAAGTGTGTTTACCGAAGTATTTATCGCTTGGATATTACAACATTATGGGATTCAAATCTGTAGCACTGAGATTGATATCCTCTTTGTAGAGCGCTTCCTCTGATCAATATTTCGTGGTTAGCTGTAGTCGCACGATATCGTGCTCTATTGTGAAAAACTTGGCGAAAATTCAATTATTGAAAATGTGCTTAGAAGCGGTGGGGTTTCATGTTTGCTACAGCTTGTCATCTGTACGTTCGGTTTGTCTTTGCACGTCTTCGGTCCGATCGGTTCTTTCGATTTCAGAATGTCGTAGTGTTTGAATCGTCCTGAAGGACGCGTGTGGCGCAGTGGTCGGAGGCGCTCTGCAAGACACATGGGATTTATTCCCGCTCCCACGGGTCACCAAGCCTTTTATCCCTCTGGAGTCGGCAAAGTGGTACCAGACTTGTCTGGGAGGATAGCAGCACTGGTTCGATAAATCGGCAAGCCACCGCGAGTTATTGTAAAGGCCAGATATGCATTCAATCACCTCTAAACGATGTTCAATGAAATCGAATACACGGCGCATCCCTAATGGATTGATCAGTGCCTTTGCCCTTCATCCTTCAGTTTCTGGCTCTGATCGTATCATTTTATGAATTCGAAGGTCACGTGGTAATTCGCGGTAGTTCACAGTAGGGTTTCCCTTAAAGTGAAGTGGATTTGAGGATCATAAACGATTGAGAACTTGTTGATATTGTGAATTGTTCCCGCTCATGTATCAGCAGTAAGATATCCTTTCCTTATTCAGCTATGTCCACGGATCGGAGTCGGACGCTGTGTCGTTACTTCGCCAGTGGTTGCTGTAATCAAGGTGAACGTTGCGCGTTCTCGCACGATAGGAACACTCCTGCGGATCGCGTTTGTCGTTATTATCTGAGGGGCAGGTATATTTGTTCGCATTATTTTGTTGAAGCCCATATTACTTGCAGATTTCAAGTTCATTTTTGTTGAAAAAGTAAAAATATGCCAGCCTAATGTGTGCCTTTCCTGGTGACCTCTTACTAACGAAATTCTTCAATGAGGTAGATAAGAAATTGTGCCAGGTGAGATGTGTTTCCTTTACTTAGGATCTCTAATAAGCACTATTGCGTCTATATATATATATATATATATATATATATATATATGTATATATATGTGTATATACATATATGTATATATATAAAACACATGTACATATATATATATATATTATACATATGTACATATATATATCCTTACGAACTCTGTTGTTTAGCTGACGCAGATTGGGAAAGGTCCTTATTGCTGTTATTGTTGTTGTTCGATGGCTGATGTTTCGCCAACTTCATCTTCCTCAGAAACCGACTTAGAACGTTAGCTCACCCATGAAACAACCACGACAACAGCAAGAGGATGTGTACCAACTTCGCGTCAGCTAAACAAGAGCAACCACAATAATGCTGAGATATTTGCAAAACTCAGGACCGCATGTTTCTGCGGTGTGGTCGGCATCGAACCTAGTTAAGCTGAGGCTGTAGTTGAAATCACAAGTTGAAATGGCGTTGCTGATGGCACTGTTCGATAGAACTAGCTGAGTGACAAACGAAACGAAGGACTCGTATGGTGTGGTGGTAAACGCGTTAGCCCTCCTCGGAAAAGGTGTGGGGGAAATTTCGCGTTCGTTCCCCACCGCAGACGTCTGCAGTCCGGAGTTTTGCACATACCTCAGCATCATTGTGGTGCTATTTCGCATAATACCCTGCTGTAAAAAATTATTTTAAAAAAAGGATAAAGGATAAAGCTCTCTGCGTTGATCAATCGCTGAGGGATGCGCCACGCATTCGACTTCATTAAATATCGTTGGAAGTGATTGAATGCATTGCTGGCCTTTAAAATGACTCGCGATGGCCTACCGATGTATCGAGCCAGTGCTGCTATCCTCCCAGACAAGTCTGGTACCAATTTGCCGAATCCGAAGTGGATAGAAGGCTTGATGGACCATGAGCGCAGGGATCGATTCCACGTGTGGAAGACGCGCCCTTATGAAAAATTGTAGTAAGCAACAAATAAAAAGTTACCATAAACAAAAGCAGTTCGTAAGAACATATGTGTAGATATGTTCATTATTATCCCGATGTTTGTAGAAAATCGGTCTTTTGAGTTATTGCTACCGTGTGGATTTCGCTTTGCGTACCGTTCATTTCGAAGAAAATCCATTGGTGAAGGTGACCGCTCACATTTTGAAGTGCAAGTGTTCTTGTCATCAGTCCATCTAGATTATACTATTTTGATGGAGAATTAGTTGGAATTGATGCATGCGCCAATTGCTTGTAGGCACTAGCATGTGGACAAAGAAGCCGTTCTATCCTTACTAACTTTGAGTTTTCTTAATTCATTTTGATGGAGAAATATTTCGTTCCATCCTTGTTTTATCATCCTTTCTTTTGTCGTTCAATCTCTTTAGAAATTACTCTTCAGCACCAGTTCGCGTGCTTATGAGTATCCCTCTTCCTTGGCACTGGCTTACCGCTTCATCATGGCTGAGCTGTGTTCTTCGGTGTCGAACTACAACACTTGGATACTCGGATGGCCCCTCTTCACTGGTTGTTCGAGCCCCAGCATAATCTCCACTTCTTGGGCATTGTGTGGCGTAGCCATTGTGGTTCGCTGGAGTCTCGGGGTCAGCCTAGCCGAAGCCTTCCCAGGTCACCAGCACAGGCAGTCGTCGCCCTTGTGCACTAGAGCGAGATTTGCCATTATGCGACTAACTTGATACTAGGACGGTGGTGGTATTGGTTTGCTCTTAGCTTGGCTTCCTAAGGGAAACGCCATACTCCTTCCCAGCTTGGGAAATCCTGCTGGAGGATTAATCCACCTGCTCTAAATCGCAGCTCTACAGCTAGGTTCACCTTCCAGCCATGCTAAGGCGATAAACCGTTGGAAGGTGGAACTACAATACGCAGTGGAAATCCATCTTCTTAGAAGATTTATCGGTACTGAGGACCTACATATTTCATTTTCGAAGGCTAGCTGAAATCAATCTACGCCACAATAGAGCTCGGCAACTTACCCACCACTTCCAAAAATCTGTCGCTTGAACATAAATGATAAATGAATCGTTGGGATTTTTCTTGCATAACTACTCCGCAGATCTTCAGTCATCTTATGATCCTTTAACTAACTTTGTGAAGTGTTTAGGATTATGAGCATAACTACTTTTCCTCGTAGGAACGCCAAGTTTAATTGTTATCCTATTCGTTTATTGTTCCTTTGTATGTTTTCTTCCGTAAGTATTCACTCTGGTAACTAATATATTTCAGCTGTTCTTATGGCACGGCTTGTAGATATGACCATATCCGTCCGAAAGGAAATGTTGGGTGTAATTCCTCTGATAAAGTTCACGGCGGAAAGAAGTCATCTTCATTACCGCCGAAACCGTGCAAACTTTCTAAACCTGGACTTAATGTTGCTGCTGAAGAATTCGTCCCGTCTTGGAAACGCGTCTCAATCGGTAACTGCTTTTCATGAACATATATTGCATTGTTACTATACTCAGTGCTTTTAAAGTAACCATAAACTATTCAGGCGAGTTTTTGTTACATTTGTCGACACCATCTGAAATTTAAGGTCCATCATATGCTGTGGCAGCAGGATCAAGTGAAAGTGAAAAGGTCCTGCCATTATGCCCCTATTTTGAGATGGGCGAGTGCAAAAACGAGGAATGTCAATTCGTTCACGGTCTCACATGTGACATGTGCTCACGCGCTTGTGTCCACCCATATGACGAGAAACAACAAAAGCAACACTTTATGGTCAGTACTTTTACTTCGTTAAATATTAGAACCAAATACAATCAGGAACTCAATGCTATCGTTGCAGGAGTGTTTGAAAGCACATGAAATTGCAATGGAACAAGCATTTGCTGAAGCGAAAGGCGCTGGAAAATCCTGCGGTATTTGTATGGAGAACATCGTGGAAAAAGTAAGAATAAAGTGCGTATATAGATAAAATATCACAGTTGTGCCTCTTGAACCTATCTCTTACTTTAAACATCGAGGGCACAATGCAGAAGGTGATTATTATATTTACGCGGTACTTGAGCGGCCCATCGTCACTGGTTGTGCGAACCCCAGCATAATCTCCATTTTTCGGAGTTTGGTTGGTTCATCTATGGTGTTTTTCTAAAGTCTCGAGGTTATTCTGGACAGTCTTCCCCAGGTCGTTACCACCGCAAGCAGTCGCCGCCCTTGTGGATCAGAGAGGGTTTGCCACCATGCGACTAGTTTCATGCCAGGGCCGTGGTGGTGCTCTTAACTTGGTTTCAAGGTGTAAACGCCGAACTCTTTCTCAACTTCGGAGACCCTTCCGCGTTATGAATCTCACGCTGTTCATCGCAGCCCGGCACCCACGAACACCCACCATTATAAAGCGGTAAACCGTTGGCAGGGATTATTGTAGTGTTAATATATAATTTTTGTAAGCTCTGCTTCATCATGTAATGTCTTAGTCGCGTTAAGAGTTTACGGTTTGGGATCTTGGAAGGATGCCGGCACTGTTTTTGCTTGGACTGCATTCGCGAGTGGAGAAGGAATCAGTCATTTGAAACTGACGTAGTACGGTTGGTCCAAAAATATTCAATAGATGCTTATGTTCAGAATTTTATTCACAAGTTTTCAAACGTTTTCGTTATAGGTCGTGTCCTGAATGTCGGAAACATAGTAACTTTGTCATCCCGTCCACTTTATGGGTGGAAGAGGAAGAAGAGAAGCGTATACTGTGTGAAGTCTACCGCAGTAATATGGCTCAAAAGCAGTGTAAATATTACAAGGTTAGATTTACTTGGGAGACTTCACTTGTTGATCGTGAAGACCGGTTTCCTTTTCCGTCTTTCGTATTTTATGAGTAGTACAAGCAGGTATCACAATCCGTTGGTTATTTTGGTTTCTGTAGGTTGGTACTTCTTAATAAGTCCTTTCCTGGTTGATAGCCTCCTCATTGTTCCTTGTATCATAATTAATGGTCTCCATTTTTTTGCTGTCTTATCATAATTGGTGATTTCTATTTTTCTGTTTTTCTTGATCTCACTCTCTGTTACTACATCTATTTCATTCCCTTGTGCTTTCTCTCCGCCAGAATCACTTTCTTAATGTCGTACTTCTCAAGATTTCATCCTTGCCGAAAATCGTTCTTCCTCACTTTACAGCAGGTTTTCCATCTAAGGAAATTCGTGGAGAGGTAGTTTTTGTACACTGATGAACTTCTCGGCGTTCTTTTCCTTCTTTGGAAGCTAAAGAAAGGTGTACTGACGTTTTCTGTCTGTTCAGTTAAGCGTTATAACCTCGTCGAAAATCCCAAGGCCCAATTTTTAGTTACATGGTAAACGGCTTTACTAAAAATTTCCAGGCTGCGTGCTAAATAATGTTACCGCTTTGGGGCTGTGGAAAAGGAAAAGTCCACTGAAATGTTCGACACTGTCAGATATTATATGGCCTCATTTCGGCCATTTCCAAAAATCAGCTTATCCATTCGTGACAGGATTAACACAAAGTCGCTTTTGGGATGTAATTGAGATGTAGCCAGTTTTTGGAAAAGGTATATTCGGATTTCTGGGTCAGGTTCATCCATCAATGTTAACTTTGTTCTAATTTTCCCCCTCACCAAGGTGTTGTGGGGATGTAAATGAGATTTTGGAAGTAGATAGTTGATCTTTCGCCAGACTCAACAAAAGAAATCAGAGTTTTTCTGCAATGTTGACTGTTACAAACTTTTGCCACTAACGGTGTTTCAGGAAGGATCTTCTGCGGAGGGCCGTTGTCCATTTGGAAATAAATGTTTTTACAAGCATCAGCTTCCTGACGGCTCCATTGATCCAGGAGAGGAACCACATGCGCGAAGGAAACCGCATCTCGCCGAATTCATTTTCGATACGTTAGTAAAATGCTTATATTCGCTTAACTTTTTAGTAACTCAAGTCATACTTTTTTTGTTATGAATATTTTTGTTATGTTCAAGATCAGGCGCAGATGAGGACGGTGTACTATGGGATGATTCACTCTCGATTGAACATCTTATTAGCTTCACAGATGTGGTACGAATGATGAGAGGACTAAGAGCATCCAGGGATTAATTTCATCTTCTACATTTATATCCTTGTGTTCTGTTGTCGAACATTTTTGCATGTTTTTTTCGAAGGGTTGAAAATTATATATAGGTCTTCTCAGTCCATCTGTTGAACTATCCTGAATTTCAGTAAGAAAGGATACTTCTTGTTCTGACTTGATTGTAAAAAGCTGCGCAGAATAGATATGGCTTACTAGAATTGTGTAAAAACTTGCCATATAAAAGTTACTTGTTACTTTCTGGAAGTACATAGTCTTTCCATGTATATTTCATTCATATATAATTGTACCGTTGTGGTTTTGATAGGTTTCAACGCGAAACGTGAGTATTATTCGACTCATGTGTAAAAGTCTTTGTTTACAACGGTGTCCCATACTATATGCATTTGTTCCCACTTTCCAAACTACACTGAAAAATTCTTACGAGTTATCCTAGAGATTACCCAGCCGGTAAGTAACCGTTAGTGCATTTCATATCATACTACGATCAAAAATGTAATCGTCTGTTCTCTTGACAAGCGATGACTGAACAAGAATTGCTTATGTCTATTTTTCATGGGAATTTAGATGGGGTGGACTAGCTCTTCTTCGACTTCTTAACGCCATGAAAGCATTACGATCTTTGTGTAGTGACAAAGGAGTATGGATCTGGTAATTTTGTAGTATGGAATTTTTTAGGTATCTGAGCGGAATTTTATGACTTTCTCGTCAATCACCTATTGTTTCCTATCATTTTCCAAGACGACGTCGATAGTTCGGGCTAAGTAACTAGCTAGTTGCAAACTAGACAATTCTGCGAGCTACTGTGAAACAATCTTGTCTGTATCGTGATACGAACGCCAGAATGGCTAGTGCGTGAATATGTGAAAACTATGAGTCATGTAGAAGTCTGTGGTGTGTGCTATCCATCACGAACATGATGCAGGATCGACCCTCCAGCGGGCTCACTAGGTCTGTTACATCCATCGTTGCGAAATTGCTTGTAAACTTGTCTGAGATCAGCTGAATCTCTTCAATCAACATGAGGACGTCCTAGCACAGCTATTCCACGGCTCGAAAGTGTTGTTCGACTAGCATTCAGCAACAATTTTAAAGATTACAGGAATCCTCAGGTAATATCTAAACCCACGTTCAAAATGTTCGAAGACTGTCGTGGATGATGGCTGCAAGGTAGTGAATCGAATGCAAAGACTGCGTAGATCAGAAGCACCTAGATCTTCCGTAACAGTTTCACAAATGATTTACTTGTTGAACATATACTGAAATATAGTTACTAGCAGAGAGAAAGGCGAAACGAAGGACCCGCATGGTGTGGTGCTGAACGCGATGGCTCCCGGAAATAGGAAGTGTTGACGATGTGTCTGAGAAGTATACTGAATGAAGTACATCCTGGTGCTGTTACTCTTCAGCCTTTAATAGGTGGTTTGAGGTACTTCACAACAGAAATGGTCGGTTCTGTTTCATAAACGTCAGTTGTCCACCTTACATTGGAGCGTTTTGTTGATTCGCTGACAGGACTTCATTCTAACCATGATCTGGCCCATAGAAGTACTTCAGAGGTAGGTTTTTGTTGAACTTTCTGAAGAAAGCCGATCACAAACAACACTTTTGTTATACATTGTGATTTATACCACAGCTTCAGCTTAACTGGGTTCACTGCCGATTTGTGCTCCCCAGATCAATCTCGTTGACGGGTTATTGCTGGTCGCACTGGTCTATAGAAAGCTGGTTGAAAGAGGCGAAACGGATCCACATGGTCCGATGGTGAACGCGTTACTCCCCGGAAGGGACGATAGCGTGTTCGATCCCCACCGCAGACAGCTGCGGTTCAGAGTTTTGCAAATATCTCAGCATCATTGAAGTTATATTTCATAATGTATACTCTATTAAAAAAATATAAAAGTAGTATAAAAAAGAAAAGCTCAATTTTTCAAATGACGAGTGTTGTTATCCAAAAGATCTGGTATTTTGCACGGAGAGATTCATGTTTAAGAAAATTTCCAACAATGGTTTACTCCACAGTGTCTCATTAGCAGGGCGCGTGTGGTGCAGTGGTCGGCGACGTCTTGCAATACACGTGGGGTCGATCTCCACTCCCAATGCTCACGAAGCCTTCCATCCTCCCGGGGTCGTCAAATTGGTGGCAAACTTGTATGGGCGGATAGCTGGCCCTGGTTCGCTACGTCGGTGGGCCACCGCGAGTCATTGTAAAGGTCAGATACGCATTAAATCACCGCCAACGATGCTCAATGAAGTTGAATGAATGGCGCATCCCTTAGGGATTGATCAGTGGCAAGAGCCTTGTCTTTTTATCTCATTGGCAGAAACTACGTAAGGAAAACCGTCTGTCCACAGATTATCCAACTTCAGATCCTTCAGTGTTCTACCTTACATTTAGGCACTGCTGAAGAGCTCGTTGAGAGATGTACGAGCGTGTGTTGGATGAACGACAGGTGGCCAAAACCACTGTTGATGCTATTCGTTCCACAACTGATGCTCACCTGTACAGCTGTATTGAAGCAGCAAGGAATTTCATGGCTGTAATCGCACCGTTTATCCAGTGAGTAGTTTGTCCAACTTTACAAATGAATGGTTCTTACAGAGTGCTTATTGGTTTACATCGATTCTACTTTGGAATTTTCACACAAGAGCGCTACTCTGCAGCTGTAGTCCATTGAATTTCTAAAGCATTTTAAATCCACATTCGCTTTACTGTTGAGAAGGTAAAAGTCGATCGAATGTAGTAGTACATCATCTGCATTCATTTCTGCCCTCACGGCAGGCCTTGATATCTACTGGGAATTCCACCATAGTTAGAACAGGACATTGTACGTTTGCTAGACTACATTTTAGGTGTACTAAGTAACCAGGTATCCCCGGAAAGGGTAATAGCGTGTTCGATTCCAGCCGCAGACACCAGCGGTCCAGAGTTTTGCAAATATCTCAGCATCATTGTGGTTATGTTTAACCAAGTAGCTTGCAACTTCCAGAGACGAATCGTTTGCACGGATACAAAAAGCAGTGGACGAGTACACAGTATGTGTGGACGATTGTTACGACTACCACCTTCTTATGAAGATAAAGGAGCATCTGTCCCAGATATTTACTGAAAAGGATGAGGCCTGATAGTTAATGCAACAGCTCTATTACAACGTAATTCACTTTATCCTCAGCAGTTATTCTGTTTCAGCTTAGTTTCTCCTACGACCAAGACGACGATATCCTTGTTAAATATCTAGAACTTTTCTCCGATTGTGTGGTACGTTCATTATTCAGATTATGTAAAGCATATTTTCCCTACGGTGTGGAGTTTATCAGTATTCAGATGAAAACAGATTCGAAAATTTCTATGCATGTGGTCTCAATGGATGACTTTAAATGGTTGAGCCATCTCATAAATGTATATCAGATGGTAAGTGGCGTATAAAATGATCTGGTCTCTTGGGTACTTCCAACACCAAGGATGCTACTCTTCAGGATCAGAACAGTGCAGTACGTCGGGCAGGACTGAACTGTATAGCCTCGTTGACAGATGCTTGTCCTGATCTCATCGCTTTCCTTTTAAATTCACGACTTCCAGAAGTACTAGCGTCAGAATTTCAAACACAAGATTTCGAGTTGACTAATCTACATCTGCTTGCCATACAGCTACTCACGAAGATTTACTCAACTGACAAAGCCCCTCCGCTCCAACACTTTGGTAAGTTGGTTGATACTGTTCAACAATTTCCAGAGGTTCAAAGCTCCATCGCAAAAGTTGTGAATGGACGTCAAGATACCAGTACTTAACAAAGATACTTATGGTTTTCATTTATAGATTTCTTTGATATCAACTTCTTTACGAAGTTGACCAAGCACTTGAGGGATCATCCTAACGAGATAATGGACTTCATAGTCAATTTTAATTTTCTTTGTCCTGAGACTCATGAAAACAGAGTAATTAACGCACTAGAAGTTAGCCCATGTTCACTTCTCGGACAGTTATTGGTGAAATCAGTGAACGAAGAAATCACTGGTAAGTTCATATTAGTTAAGTTGCAGCCACCTTCACATTCTTTGAAATGAACTGAACGCTTATTAGCTGTCTCCTGCAGCAGTAATCTTTCTTCACATCCATTAGATTGTACCACTAATTTTTTCATATGGGTGAAAATCCGTAGTTCATCAAGCAGCAGAGCAGTATGTATTTCAGATCGTCGTCTCAAATTCTTTCTTGATACTTCTAAAGGAGAACTGTATAAACAGTTGTTCTACGAGAATGATCTTAATGTCTTATCACATGTACTGGCAAGGGAACTAGTCAATTCAGAGAGCAAGAAGGTCCGTGTTTTGTATCGATATTGCAGCACTTGTTAAGCTGCTCTGGCTCTTATAAGCCTAGTTCATCTATGATTAAACATATTTAGATTCGACGTCGATGTATGGAATGCATTGTTCGGTTATCCGATATGGGTTATTGTGATAGAATGATATTAGAAGCCATTGAAAGTAGCGACTTCAAAGATGCACTGTATCCCGAAACATTGAAATTCATTGAAAGGACATTCCGTGACATGTAATTTAGATTTTGATGACGCGTGGTATCTGGTCGGACTCTTAAACTAAGTTTGTAGCTGATGTGTTCACTTAAAAGCTTTTCCACAACATTCACAGATCTGTGTACAATGGCAGACATTCCATTCGATAGAGAAGATAAATCTTTATAGAACATTTATTTAGCAGACAAATGTTTCCATCTGTTTGGCGGCCATATGATGTGAGTAGCACGATTCTTCATTAGACCAATACTTACCTGAAAATTTTGGGTAAAAAAAGGAAGCTAGAACCTAGTTAGTGAAACAAAGAGTTAACGCAACTTATTAGCACATTTGTAAGGGGAACGGATTTTTGACAACTAACGATAATTTCCCAATGACTAGTGAATTTGGTAACTTCATAGATTTTTGTGGACTCCTCTATAGAAGACGCTGCCCTATCGCCTTAGGATAAGGGATAAAAGCATGAAGATCTCGATGTTGATCAATCCCTGAGGGATGCGCCATGCATTCGACTTTATTAAGCATCCTTGAAGGTGATTATGAATGCATATCTGGCCTTTACAATGACTCGCGGTGGCCTACCGATGTATCGAGCCAGTGCTGCTATACTTTCAGACCAGTTCAGCACAAATTCGCCGACCCCGGAGCGATGGAAGGCTTGGTGAGCCTGGGGGTGTGGATCGATCCCACGTGTATTCCAGGGCCCCTCTCCCCCCAACCACTGTGCTAACGCCCCTATCGCCTTAGGAGCACATGTAATTTTTATAAAATATCCGTTTAGTGCTAAGTAAAAATTTTCACAAAATTTCATAAATTACGCTTGAAGTTTTGGAAAGAGCAGAAATGAAGTCCACGAAATTCCCAGTGCAAAATTGACATTCGCAAAGAATAACGAAGCATGGGAGAATGCCATTGTCTGGTTGGAAGAAAATCCCACTTATTCAATTGCTTTCCTCTTCGAAATATGAGACTTGGAACAAAAAAAGTGGGGATGTATGTCTCATGGGTACCAGCAAGACAGAATTTAATCTTAGTATAACAAAGAACAACATAACTTATACGCTACAGACAAATATCTGTACATTGTAATGACTCTTATTTGAATTGAGGAAGTTCAATATCAGTTGATATATGGATATATGCCGGTTCAATTCCAGGTATGCCATGATTTTAGCATTATATGCTCTAAGAAAAAATGGCGCAGTGGTGGTAGGCGCCCTATAATACACACGAGATTGATCCCACGCCTCTGGACGACCAAGCTCTCCATCTCTTTAGGGTCGGCAGACGGAAACCAGGCTTCTCTGGGGGATAACAGCACTGGTTCGATGCATCGGTAGGCCATCGCGAGTCATTGTAAAGGCCAGATGTGCATTCAATCACCTCCAACGATGTTTACTGAAGTCAAATGCACGTAGCGTCCCTTAGGGATTGATCATCACCGAATGCTTTTTTAAGTTATACAGAAGGATTCACTCACGGGCCCGTACACATTGCTATCGCATGCATTTTCCGGATTGTCGCTCTCCATCCAACAGCATCCCTTCGGGACAAGCATGAACTCATTTCGGTACTTTGGCCTAAAATCAATCTCTTTGACCTAGGCTTTGCATAGTTTTAAAAATAGTTCCAAAACATAAAAATACATCACTTCACTACATCGCCTTCCAATGCCGTAACACGTTTAATATGAACCTTATCGGGTTCCCGAGGTGATCTGGAAAATTCATTGGTGAGTTTTGATATAACCACATTCTCATGAATGAATTAGGAGAAGCAGTAGCAAACGCCTACTGCATAGAGAACAAAAATATCCCTGATAAGACCCAGTTTATAAGAACACATAAATAAATATATCAACTATCTATGCCGCGGTTCATAGAAAGTCGGTCTTTCGAGATATCCCTGATAAACTGATCTAGACGGACACAAAAGTGTCCAGTAAAGAACGAACGGTCAATGACCTTAGTTATAGCTGAGACATACACAAATGTGATGATATCACCAATGTAAGGTGAGCGTATCCGTCGAGGTGTGAGCCAGACCATGTCGCGGTGCCACCAACGGGCGTCGGATCCCTCCAGAGTGGGCGACATCGAAGCGCCTGTGACGACGGCCGGATGTCCGACGACGTCGAACGCGGTCACCGCTACGCAAACGCTGGATGCCATCCGGGCCACGAAGCGCAGCATCTGTAGGGATCACGCCCAATCTAAAAAACAGCACGGACCATGTTGTTATTCTACAGGTTCTGTTATGACGATAAGAGTTCGCAAGTGCTTTTGTTATCAATGCATTTTACTATTTATAACCTTGGATGTCAAAAAATGAAGCTGCCACAAAGACACTCCCACGCATAGTTCCGAAATAAGTCCACAAGAAATCGTTATTATCAAGAACAGAACGGCATGCATGATGTGAATCCTGAACTCGAGAGGTGTACTGGAAAGAGAACGGAGCAAGACTTTAACCATATAGTAGGTCCGTGAATGGCCGTTGGCTTAGAACATCAGGTAACCACTTGTGCTCCCACGTCGTCACAACTACTCATCACGGGCGAGTCAACAGATCTTATTAACGTGTTTTTAAGGTGTATTTTCTTAGGAAATCACGGATTCGATCTGGCCTGGAGTCCAAGTTCTGCGAATATCTCAACATGATTGTAGTTGTACTTTCTTTTTTATGCTTTATATGACCCGTCTTCACGTCCACTGTGCGGAACCCAGCACTCCTCGCATTCGATTTGTTTCCTCGCTTCCATCATCCACGAAGGTCTTCGCACATTTCGCATATGGGTTTGATTGCTGCTAGAGGATTGTTGTCTTCTACAAAAACGTCGTTGAATGTCGACCGAGACGATTCTCCCTCGAATCCTGGAATAGCCAGACTAGAGCGTTTCCCCAAAATTGCAAGGAGGGAACTGTTCACAGACAAGTCTGGTATCAATTTCTCGACTTCGAAGGGATGAGAAGCTTAGTGAACCTAGAGCAGGGTCGAACTATCACCGTGCTAAGGGTACAAAGTGCCGGTTATATTGTGGGAAGTGTGTACCAGTCAACAATACGGTGACCATATTCCATTAGTTAACAGTGGTTCGTAATTCGTAGACGCTTGAAATATTACAACGAAGTGTCAGTGTTAAACATACGCTAAAAGATAAAGGATAAAGCTCTCGGCGTTGATCAATTCCTGAAGGATGCGCCAAGCTCTCGACTTCATTAAGCATCGTTGGAGGTGCTTGAATGCATATCTGACCTTTACAATGACCCGCGGTGCCCTACCTATTCATCGAGCTGGTGCTGCTCTCCTACCATACAGATCTTCTATCAATCTGCCGACCGCTGAGGGATGGAGGGTTTGGTGAGCTTTGGGTTTGGGGATTGATCCAGTGTATATTCCAGGGCGCCTCCGATCACTGAATCACACGCGTCCCAATCATAAGCTAAACACTAAGAGTCTTACTCGGAAGACTGAATATCTCACAGACTGTCATTAAAACACTTCGTCGTCGTCAGAGCCTGACCAACACTTGAAACGAATTCGAGCTCCCATAACAGAACTGCGAACCAAAAACTTTATAAAAATAGGACGTCCTTGCTAACAAACAAACAAGGCCATGTTTGCCTCTGATCTGACTACACTTAGTGTTGGGCATAAATTTCGCTGAATTACAACATATCTCACACAATACCCTACCTTGAAAAGTTTTTAAAGGTAGTAAATAAAAAGTTATATAATATATTTCGCCCAATTCTGGGGCACCTTCTAACTGTTCACCGCTTCACCGTGGCTGGGAGGTGATCGTGGGTGTTGGGCTGCGATGTACAGGAGCGAGATTCATCCCTCGGCAGGGTCTCCCAAGATGAAAACGAGTTCGTCTTTTCCATCAGAAAGCCTATATAAGAGTAAATCAATACCAGGATCCACCACCGTCGCAATGTGAAACTAGTCACATGGTGACAAATCTCCTTCCGATCCACAAGAGTGGAAACTGCTAGTGGTGGTGACGACCTGGTGCAGACATTGGCCTGGCTAACATCGGAACCCCAGGGAACAACAATAACTAAACTAGAAAAACTAAGAAAAGATAGTAATTATGCTGGACCTCGCACAACGCACAGGCAGTGAAGACGGACCATCCAAGTTATCCAAGCATTTCGCCCGATTCTTTTATTGTGTAATTTTCCGTCGTTCTAGAACAGTTCGTGCGCGATATTGCGTCCCGGCGTTTACGTTTGATGAGCTAGTGCATAGTTTTCCGTGAATGTTCTTTTCTTCCTTACATTGTTCCTCATCTAACTCTCCTTCTTTGGACCTCTTTTCTGGCTTCTGTTCTAATCTAGTTTAATAGTAGTTTTTCTAGTAGTTTACTGGAAAGTAAAGACGTTTTTGGTCGGCAAATAGGTTATCCCTTCCATTTTAATTTTGTATATTGTCTGTGTTATACTCTGTCGAGCTTAATCAGTAATCACTTCACCTTCTCGAAATTTTGTTATCGGACGAAAGACGCATTCCTGAATAGTTTCTGGATAAGGACTTTACAACTGGTTTAGCCTTCACAATGACTTCCATGGACATGTCTCTGGATGAAATAATTGCGAGGAATAAGCAGGAGAGAAGAGGTATGAGCGAAGGCGTGGTCTCTAGGACTTTCTTGTCTTCGTTTTTCGGTGAGACGTGTTTTCCCCTTTGTCGGGAGACTTCTATTTTCAGGATTTCGCAAAGGGTTCGGTTCGCGGAGTGGCCGATATGGAGGCAGAGCATTCAAGAGCTATGTCGACTTCGACGCACCGTTGCCAATTCGTGGTCCCAAAATAGGCGGTGTGTGAACCAGTTTTTTTCTCCTTTTTTATCCTTTCTTTCTTCCGTATATTCCATATCCAAGTGTGTTATATTTTCAAATAAGATCGATTTTTCTGTTGAAGGGGCAGGAAATCCGAACAAGACGGTTCGAATCAACATCTCCAATCTGGCACCGTCTGTAGTCTCGTCTGATCTCGAAGAACTCTTCGCAAATTACAGAATCGAAGCTGCAACTGTTAACTACAATGAGTCAGGCAAGTATTGCTTTTTGTCTCTCCTTTTTGTTTCGCTGGTTTTGTTTTCGACAGGCCTAGTGTTAATACAACCACAATGACATTAAGATATTTGCAGAACTTCGTACCGCCGTTGCGGTACTGTACAAACGCGCTATTACCCTTTCCGGGGGCTAACTCGTTCACCACCACACCTTGCGCGTCCTTCATTTCCCCGTTTTCTCAGATAGTTTTTATCTACCAGTGCCACCAACAATCACCCGTCAACGGTATTGGCCTGGGAAGCTCAAATAGGCTATGAACTTTATCAATAAGTAGTGTTAATCTGTTTTCGTAGTGGTTCTGAATTGAACATAAAGTAGTAATCACGACAGTTTAGTGTAGCATCCCCAACATTTTCAGGCTAGATTTAAGTATTATTTTTGCACTCATCTATGGTTTCTAGGTATATCTGTTGGCACAGGTGATATCTATCTGCGTAAGAGTGATGCTGAAAATGTCATCAGTGACTTCAAGGGTGTAGCACTGGACGGGCAGGTGGATTCATTCTAGTGTAGTGCCGTGTCCCCGCTGATCATTCAAATGTGAATTAACTCTAGGTCATGAGAATGGTTCTGGTCGATGCAAGTGATTCTTTGGGTACACGTATACGAGTAACTCCTCGCAATGGCGGAATGCAGAGGAGCTTCAGAAGTGGTAGTATGAATTTTCCATTTATGAATCCTTTTGTTAGTTTTATTATTATTAGTCCACTTCTAGCGCGAAGTAAGTTCTATGAGCTGTAAGTGAGTAACCCACTAGTTACTATTTGGTTGCAAAGTTTTCCACTTAACCGAAAATTGCCAACTATTTTTGATAATCTAGTAAATGTACAGATGGAAAGCTCTGATTATTTGATAAATCTTTTTTGGACAGCTGAGTGACTACCCCATCTTCACGTTTCGTTTCGTAGTATTCCAATTTTGATTTATTTCCATGCTTCGCAACTGCCGACAGTGGTGGTCGTCTTGTTTGTGTAAAGTGAAATCTGCTACTGTCTTCCCCTAACAAGTAACTTGTATCCAGCTTCGAGTAGAACTTTTTTCTTTTTCGTCGTTTCTAGTCCACAATACTTTTTTGCGTCCGTTAATCGCTATTTACTCTGTTCATCGCTTGATTTTTTTTTTATATACTTTGCTTTATTCGTATAGTTCACTAAGTCAGGAAAAGAACCTGATTATCGGAATACCTTATTGACGAACGGGACTTTAACATCGTGTGTTCAAGTGGTATCTTAGAAGGCATCCTAGTACCCGATGGATAGCACCACCATATCCGAAGTGCTTAAATTGTAAGGAACCACCGTATTACCTTCCTTACAAGATGAGTGGTCTTGACAGATCAGCACGGATGCCTCCTTCCATAAGAGTTTTACATGTCCTAAGTGCGGTAGGTGTTGATGGACGTCGTCCGATATCGGTTAACATCGTTAATTGAAGACCACATAAATGTACTCATTGGGAAAGATCTATGGATCTTTATTCCATCTTCTCCGTTGAAGTTTTCTTTGCAAACTAGGACATCTCGCAATCTGTTCACAGTTCTACTATTTCTCTTAATTTCATTTAGCTTTACACTTAGAATACGAAACTGGTTTTTCGGCAACTGCTGGTAATTCCTCAGTAACTGGAAAATTTGAGAGCTAGAAGACGTTGTGTTATACAATAGACTTTGTTCTATAAATTTAAGAGTGGCCTTCCTTCTGTGGTACTATCTTTTGATTCCTAGCGTTATTTGGACTAGAAAATTTCCGGAAGAAGAGAAAACGTCGTTCAATTCAAACGAAATCTCGGTAACCACAAATATCAACTTCGCACATGGAGCTGTCATCATGTTGTGGTGGACGAAATAAAGCTTGTTCAATTGCTTTCATTTTCGAAATACGAGCTTTAGCGAGGAAAAAACTCACAAAATAGCCAGATATGCATTCACCTTTATGATGCAGATCAGAACGAATGCATGGCACAGCACTCTGGAATCGGTCGACGTTGAGTTCTTTATCTTTTATCATTTTATACAGTGGAGTGAATATGGACAGCGCGTTTACTCAATTGGTTGAGCATTTTGCAAGGTTATGTCGGTACTATTAGAGTTTTGTCTAGAGTTTATAAAATATATGATAAGAAAACTGGACAGCTATTGGGCTAATTTCTCCGACCATCTTTCCTAGGTAAGAATTTCGTGGTGGAAGTCGTTTACTTTTGGGTTGCTTTTTTCGAAAGTATGGTGTCATGTGGGTTCCGAGAGTTGCGTTCGTGCAAGGTTTTGCCTGACACTGTAGAGTTGCTGCTGTTTGTACTTCTGATCGTTACTTGAATTTCATAAAGATCCTTCCTCCAAGGATCTTGCCAGACTTTAACATTATTTTAGTTTATATTCCTGTGGCCGAAATGTTTGAAGTTAAGGACAGGTGTGAAGCAGAAGTGGTTAGAGTATATTTTTTTCGTTGACTGTCGTGAAGGAAAGCAATAGAGATCGTCTTAATTGAGCAGAACAGGCACTTGTTTATTCTCCAACTCTGCCAATGGCGAGTGTTCTTTCCATATTGTTGCTGGGTCGTACCTTCACATGGAATCACTTCGACAATTGGATGGTGGCACTGTGAAAGTGTTTAGTAGGCAGAATATTCTGATTATGGGAATATGGTAAATTTCGTTTTCTAGCATATCGGTTTTCGTAGTGGTTTGGTTTTTTATGTTGAATATCGGGATCTTATATTCTGCTTCCTGTGGCAGTTACTACATTGGCGATGAATCCTGTGAGGATCATTTATTCTGACTCTTCTAGAAAGGGTCATTGCTAACGTTGGTTATGTATTTCATCATGCTCTTTTCTTTCAATTAACGGTTTGTTAGAAGAGAATAGTCAAGATTTGGCCTCAAGATCTTACGTAAGTTGAGTTCGTGCATGAGCCCTAACTGGATGTCTTACAGATTTTCCTTAGTGAAATCTCATCTGTGCGGTTAATAAGATTTTCGCTACCAGTTGTATAATAACTAACTTGGTTCGCGCTGTTAGTCTTCCACAGTTAAACCACATGAAATTTGAAGCGTCTGGAATATCGACGAAAGTCAACTCTAAACACATAACGATACTGAGATATTTGCAAAACTTGGACCCCAGGCGACATCGAACCGCGACTACCCTTTCCGAGGGCTCAAGTGTTACGCACGGCACCACTGAAGCTTTTGCTCTGTTTGTCCCTCAACGAATTTTTTTACCTGACGGTGCCACAGGCAGTCACATTTGTTCATTGTTTTTGTAAATTCTTCTTATAAATACGATGCATTTAACCTTTTCTATGAGCGTTGATGAGTTATTTCGATGCACTAATAGTACGTGATTCGAGCTTGACGTCTTGGAAGCGTCTTCAGTGCGCTTGATAAGACTGGTTCGCTTGAGAATTTAACAGGAGGTTAACTGCTTTACTTACTGCTTATTATAATTTTTCATGGCAGGGTATTACATGTAAAATAACCACAATGATGCTGAGATATTTGCAACATGAAACAGCTACACTAAGGTTCTCCCACCACAAATGCCGTCCATTGCGGTTTAAAGAGGTTTTTTGCTTTGTGAAGTTTCTAAGAACGGAGCTTTGTTACTGTCGAACGCCTCGATTTGTGTGACCTTGCCTTGTACCTGAAGATTTCGTTGTCCATTATCGTTTGAACATTTAAGAACACATCCCATGCGCGGTTTAACGGTGAACTATTGGGTTGTTTGGTCAAGTGTATGGTAATAACCGTGAGAGAAAGTACGTTTGTTCCATGGTTTGTAGGAAATGTTTTTCTGCTGACGTTAAATGTAATCAGAATTGAAACCTTTTAAGAACTTTGGATTCCTCGAAAATTCTTCCTATTTCCTTCCTCGTATGAACTCCATTGTTTAGGAGATCGTCGAAACTTCAGTGGTGGAACGGGAAAAGGCGGCAGTTACGGACGCAAATCCAGGACGGATAGGAGGTAGTGCTGAAGCGTTGTTGACATTGAAATATTTCATATTAAGTTGTCACTTTTTTTCACCAACAGCATGTAACATGAGACATTTTCCACTTTTGTTGCACTTGAGTTACATTATCTTTGACTTAATGAACTTTTTGTATGGCTTCTTTTTGTGAAAGACATGTTTTTTACACATTCAAACCTCTAAGAACCTGTGTCACCGGTTTGGATATACTACCTACGTGGCCTAGCTCTTGAAACGTAGGAAAAACTGCTTTCCGAAGCTATAGGGTTGCTATTGTTAAGTATTTTAAGCAACGTAGAATAGCCCATCGGTGGAATTTTAGCTCGTTTATAGCTCTATATTGCAATGAATGTTTGAAAGCTCATTTATCTCGTTTATTCCACTATCTATTTCATTATTTAGAATGACTCTTTAGCGTTATCCGTTTTATAGACCTAGAATGACGGAAGCTGAGTTGGATGCCGAGCTGGAGGCGTACATGTCAAAACCAAGGATTCAGTAGAAAACATTGTTGCTGCTGATGTCTCAGACATAACCGGAAGAAGCTGCAAGTGCAGGCGCAATTGTCCACGAATAGTTCTGTGCTTTTTTATTCTGGTTCATTTACCTATTCACCTTAAACTATCTCATGTAAACCAAACTGTTTTTCAGTATTTGCTGTTTTAGCAAGTTAACCTGTTATGAAATTATTGTGGTTGCTATATGTTGTTCTCATGGTTCAGTGATAAAGTTTGCGATGCATTTGTTCTGAATATTTGTTCTGAAGCCGCACTTGATATAGGCAGAATTCTTGTACATGAGTCGTTTACTAACCTTCATGTCTTTATTCTGAGTGGTCTTTTTAGGCACTGTTAAAATTTAGTATTCTCTTACAGCAGGTGTGTTGAGATGTTGTTGATCCGTTAAGGTAAGGTCAACGTTTTGGTGAGATGTCTCGATTCGATTTCATGTTGCGATTCCTAGGTATGTAGGACTATTTCCTATAAAAAGAAATGGGCGTTAGAAGTATTACAATTCCTAATTTCAGGGCTTAGTACGGAAAGACGGCACATTATTGACATTATTGAGGCACCTAGATGGGAATCAAATCTTGGCCATAAGGGAGAACCTGCCATTTTGCCTGGGAACCAGCTTCTTCATTGGGGTCCAATTTTTGCTCTATGTATCATATTTTATGTGAGTTTGTTTTCATTAGTATCCTGTTATATAGCATAAAAGAGTAAAGTGTTTGGGATTGATCAGTCTGTTACACATGCGACTTTACCAAGCATCATTAAGTTTATTGGTTGAATACTTCGCCTATACCGTGACTTACGGAGGCCTACAGATGTGTCAAGTGAGCACTTTTGTCCTCCCAGACAAGTCTAGTATCAATTTGTGGATCACGGATGAATGGCATGGTTTGTCTGGGGCGTCGGATCAAGCCGGTTGCCCACTGTATTGCACGTCAGCTCTAGTCACTGCGTCCACCTTTATTAAAGGATAAAGGATAAAGCTCGATCGATGCGCTATGCATTCGATTTCAATAAGCATCGTTTGGAGATGATTGGATGCGTATTTGGTCCTTACAATAACTTTCGGTGACCTACTAATGTATTGAGAAATTGTGTGCCAATTTACCCACCCCGGAGGGATGGAACGCTTGTTGAGCCTTGGGCACGGGGATCGACCCGTGTATGTAGCAAGGCGGCTCCGACCATTGTGTCAGACGCGCCCTTTGTTACACGGTGAAAATGCCATCCATCGGGTGGTTCAGATAACTTCTTATCTAACGGTATCCCATGATATTTTCCTGACGAAAGCTGAGGTGAGCACCAGCTTTGCTTTTTTTGTTTCACCGAACAGTCCGGTTTATAATTTTTAGATTGGAAGTGTGTCGTCATTCTTTGCTGTTATGTGGTGGCCATTGAATAGCATAGGAGGATTTTTTAACCTAACTTTGTTTTTCTTCTGGAATTATTCCACTGTAGTGAATCTATCATGGGCATCGTTCACTGGTCCTGGTCGTGTTCCATTTGAGTGGCGTCCTAATGACGATGACGTGCGTACAAGTTTTCTATTTCCGATTGGTATTTGCCAAAAGGAAGCTGTTTTGATCATAAACTTTCTGTTGTAGTGTGACCTTGGAAATGTGTCCGTAGATTATTTGTTGCAATGGTGTGAACCATGCCGTGGATACAAAGTGCCTCGTGCTCACCATTGTTCCCAGTGTGGTCGCTGTTCGATGAAGATGGACCATCATTGTCGTAAGCTATCTTTCGTATGAGCTAGTCTGTTTTATTACTTTGAATATAACCTCCTACTTTTGTTTCAAATTTAGCGTGGATTAACAATTGTGTTGGTCATCGAAACCATGCGTTCTTTGTCAGGTTTCTCGGGTCTGCGGTGCTAGGATGCTTTCATGCGCTGTTGATCCTTATCGCTTCTTTTTATCACGCAATAAATTTGGTGGGCTTTTATGTGTTTTTATGTGCAGCTCTACCTATGTAAGTAGGTAAATAACCTCTCTAACTCGTTAACTCTTCTATCGTTGATTGTTCAGAACTGTGCCATTCGTTCTTATCGCGTTTCTTAGTGTGCTGCGTTTGTTTCAGGAGATTAAGCAGCGTAGTCGTTTTCGTATGGTAGATTTTTGTCCGAAGGGTTATCCTTGAGGATCTATAATGGCTTTCACGGTGTAGACGTAAGCGTGATTCGAACTATCTCCTGTTTACTTTCCAGTGTTTTGATTGCAGTTTATTGGTTAAGTTGATGTGCGGGAACCACTTCTCATTGCAAGCAAGCGGACTTACACCTATATACGAATGCACACGGGGGTGTATTTTATACTGAGCGAATAAGTCAATCCAACTTAGTTACACGGGGACGATCATTTGAATACAGCAAGTACATGGTTATAATTACTTGCGTTTAGAAGCCTATCTACCACGTAGCGCCATCAACGACAGGTTTGAAGTCTTTCATAGAAGATATCTGTGGATGACCATCATTTAATTCTCTATAGTTCTAATCATCGAATAACTTCGGAGTGCACGGACTATCACCATTCAAGTCAGTCGAGCTACAGAGCTGCTCCATCGAATGTCTTCGCTCGAAAAGCAGCAAGAGCAACACACTTTTTTGGGGGCCCATTTATTCACCTTTCGTACCAAGAACGGTGCCATTAGTAGCTCGACGGTTTTGAGACATATTTGACGTTTTTCGCGAAATCCACTCAGCGAACGGTTATTTCGACGGTTTTGACACACTACCAGGACACCCATTCCTCAGCAGGAATGGCACTGGTGTGGATGAACTACTAGCTGTTTGAAGCTCGATATCCGAGTACACCCTACGGGCATGATGGTGATAAATTTTTACGTATGTACCAGTGTGACCATTTCCAAGTTTTGAAGTAAGCAATATCGCGTAGAATAGTAGCTATGTGACATCCCGAGAAATCAAGTTGGTAACGGCTCTTGTATACCGGTTGTATTCCATGGCCTTTTTGGAACCTGTAACTCTTCCGTCTGGGTGTCGAATCCTAGTCACCTTGGTTTTGTAATTGGCGAGTGGTCTTTGCGAACGTTTTTCCACCCTCTGTAGCTTCGGCCATTACTGCTGCTCTTCTCTCTCTAAGATCTTCTTTTATCGCCACTCTGTATTGTTTTGCAAGTTCGGACGTTAGTGCAGCTCATGCGATTCCACGCTGGCGTATCAGCTCGAGTGTTTCTGGAGACAAACGTCTCTCGGTGACTTTCGAACTCTCAGCTTTCATAGAGCTAACGTGAAAATGTTGAATGAACCGATCGTATTCTTCGTCGATGTTATCGACAACGGCATCTTTCCAACAGCCGACTAACGAAATGAATAAATCCTAGTTTACGGTGGTTCTGGGACTTCGGTTTTGGATTTTAGCGGCTTTTTCTCCTTTCTGTGAGCAGTAGAATCGTGCACGAAAGAGACGATGTTCTGATCCCTTGTAGAATTTTGGGACAACAGCGACGTCGGTTAGGCAAAACCTTCTGTTTACTATGATGTGGTCTATTTCGTTATGGTACTCTCCATTGGGAGACTCCCACGTCCAGCGTTGAGGGTGGGGCATCTGGAATTGCGAGTTACCATGGATTGTCTTAGTCGCCATGATAAACTCAGATAGCCGCTCACCCTGTGCGTTCCATTCTACTCCGTAGGTCCCAATGTGACGTTCTTCAGACATTCTTCTTGGTCCAGTTTTGGCGTTGAAATCTTCAATGATGACCTTGAAGAATGTGTGGTCTTTTCTGTAGAACTTCTCCATGTCCACATAGAACGCTTCGACTTCGTTTTAGTCATAGCTTGATGTCGGTACGTAGACGGCGGAGATTATCAAAGCCGGGATAGATCGGTATCTCTTCAATCGTAGACATCCAATTCGGGTTTTAGTGGTTCGAATGAATCCATGTTCATGGCCAAACTCGTGTGGACGAGAATGCCGACGTCGCCGACTCCTCTATTATCGCATGTTCCGAGGAACAGTTCTTCTCAGGTGTCGTAGATGTTGTTGAATGGATCATGTCTTCTCGTCTGTGCCAGTCCGATGACGTCGTACCTTACTGTTCTTGCTTGTATGATCAAGGCTTCAATCGAGGACTCAGGTGCAAGTGCGCGTGCATTATAGGTACAGATCGTCACCTTAGCCTTTCGATGATTTAGGCAGCTTAGAGTAGGCCTAACGTTTTACCGGCCTCTCCATACTTGTCTTACCCAACACTGCCGTATCAGGGCTCTTTGAGATCAGGGGAAAGAGGCCCATTTATTTTAATGTATTTAGCATTTGATTTCCACGTATAGCTAGCGTACTGAGCTTTAAAGTGTGGTTTGGGTGTACGTACGGGTAGCTTGCAAGTCTCTCCCAGAGCGCACGGGGACTTATTTTTCGGACAGGATTCCTAATCACGTTCCATGTATTTCCTTGTCACTTGATTGCAGGCTTTTGGCCGAATTGACTCGTAGAATACAATGCGCACAAACAAGAACACACCCACGGACGCATGAATTAGAACGTACATGCCAAATCGGCGCAGCGGAAATAGGGAGTCCACCATCTGGATCCACCTGCCTCTCAGGGAAACAAGGGTCGCTTTTGGTCCACGATCAACCTCCTGTTCAGCACTTGGTGACGCACCACGTTGCCTCACGCTGCGTCCGGACTAATAGGCATGAGATATGTGGTACTGGATAGTATATGTATATATATATATGTGTATATATATGTAAATACACATGAATATACACGTATTTGTATAAATGTATACATACGTGCGTATATATGTGTAAATGTACGCAAGTGCGCATATATGTATATATATATATATACATATATATATATATATACATATATATATATATATATACATATATATATATATATACATATATATATATATATATACATATATATATATATATATATATATATACATGTGCACATATGCATAATGAACAAAGAATAAAGGATAAAGCTGTCGGTGTTAGTAATTCCATGACCGATTCGTCATGCATTCGATTTCATCATGCGCCGTTAAACGTGAATAATTGCACATCTCACCTATAGGCTGACCTACGGAATGCTACCGATGTATGGAGTTAGTAATGTTGTCGCTGCAAATAAGTTTGGTGTCATTTTACTGACTTAGGAGAAATGGAAGGTATGGCTACCTCTGAGGGCTGGATCGAGTTTCATGTGTGTTGCAGGGCCCCTCTATCCACTGTGCTACACGCTCCCTTATATGTATATATATGTATGTATGGATATACATCCACACGGTAACACGGCTCATTGAGGTATCGCGAGAGTACAAAAGACCGCTCTGTCTCACTTTCATCGATTTATAGAAGGCCTTTGATTCAGTTGAGATGGAAGCAATCTGGGAAGCCCTTGATAGACAAGGAGTCCCTGCTCGGTACATAAATATTCTTCGTGAGTTGTACAAAAATTTTACAACCAAGATATCACCATTCTACAACGATATTAACATTGACGTCAAAAGAGGAGTTAGGCAAGGCGATACCATCTCGCCAAAATTATTTACCGCCACCCTCCAGAACGTCTTGTGAACATTGGAATGGGACAGCATGGGAGTGAAAATCGACGGTCGGCAGTTACACCATCTTCGCTTTGCTGATGGCATCGTCCTTATAACACCAAACATTAGCCAGGCGGGACGTATGCTTGACGACTTTGATAAAGCCTGTGGAAAGATTGGTCTTCGACTAAATCTCACAAAAATGATGTTCATGAAGAAAGGATTGGTTTCGCATGTCCTATTCACGCTCAACGGAACGTATATCTCTGAATGCTCCACTTATATCTATCTAGGTCGGAGAATCAATATGATGAACGACCTAGCTCCAGAACTGAGCTGAAGAAAATGAGCGGCTTAGGGAGCTTTCAAGCGCATCGGAGATTTAGTGAAGAGAAGAAAGAACACCCGACTCCGTGCCCACCTTCTCGACTCAACGGTACTTCCTGCACTAACGTATGCGCCAGAAACCTGGTCTCTGCTTAAGCAGGATGAAAGGTCACTCAGCGTTATCGAACGCGCAGTTGGAAGGACGACGCTAGGAGTATCGCGTTCCACACAAGTAAGGGATGGGATCCGAAGCTCCATCTGCGTCAGCGATCAAAAATCAAAGATACCGTTCTGTACGCCAAACAGTCGAAAATAAGGTGAGCCGGACACGTAATGCGTATGATTGCAACGGATGGACAAGAGCCGTTAGTGACTGGACTCCTCGGGATGTCAAACGTACTGCAGGAAGACCACCGACCCCATCGTCAGAGTTCTTCACAGTCTTGCACGCGACAGGGAAGAATGGGCGATTTACTGGCGCCCGTTCGTGTCATTCGACGATCAACGGGTCTACAGGTGATACGTATTTGCATATTCATATATATATATATATATATATATATATATATATATAAGAAAATGCTTCGTTTGCTGTGGTTGCCTTCTAAAATTTAAAGTTGTCTTACATCTTTTAGAATTACTACCATCGCTTTGGAAACGGCTCTGAACCTGAAGTGATTCTCACGTTCTCGTCATTAATCCTTCTTGTAATCGCCAGTGCATTTGCATTTGGTGTTGTTGTTGGAGTTGGTGGACTTCTCTATCTACAGCTAAAATACATCAAAAACAATAAAACCGGAATTGAGGAATATATAGGTAATGTTTCATCGCTCTCTGTTTCCTCATTTGCTTATTGTCTGTTATGTATATATATATATATATGTATATATATATATATACGTTTGTATGTATGTATATATATATCGATTATGTCTATTGTTCTGTATTTTACATATTTGTGTGTTGAATTTCTAAACTCAGCACTTTTAACTGTCATGGATTTTTTTACTAGCTATGATTTGCGAACATCTTGTTTAGTAGTAAAATTTTAGTATAGAACATTTTAGAACAAAAGGCTATCTCTTATCGCCAGGAAGAAGACTGTCATTGGGGTGATTTTATCTACCCTTATGATCTTGGTTGGAAACGAAATTTTCAAGAGGTTTTGCTCTCTTGGTCTGGACAGTTAGTGATTTGAATCATCATTACAAAATTTAGTTAGTTACAAGTATCCCATTAGTTTTTCAAGAAGATATTCCGCTTACATTTATTTGCAGAACAGCGGGAAACGGTGTCTGGTGGCCAGTACGGAAAGGTTGCGATCAGTTTTCGCTTTCTGTGAGTTATGCAATCTTTATTCTGTTGTTGTTCAGATGCGCAGAAGTCATCCTAGTGAGGGTTTCTAGGTATATGGTCTATGATGGTTTATATATTCTAAGGTGTAATTCGCGAAATAGTTATGGTGATCCAATTGCTTTTTAGTTCTTTGTGCAAGGAAATTTTCTCTAATTTCGTTATGCTTTATGCTTTTGGATTTGCTGGAACGTTCCAGTCCTCCTTTTTTTATGCATTCGTTCTTTATGAGTATCAATAGAAAGAACTAATTTAAGAAGTTCTATCCCTTTAGGGAAGATTGAGCAACGAAGAGCAATGGAGAGATGGGACACATCGCATTCGTAGCATTATTTACACCATTGCAATAACTACTTGAGGGACGTATTTCCCAAAATATACTTCACGCGATGACTCACTTACTTGGATGGCCCGTTTTCACTTGATCTGCGGGCTCCAGCATGACTTCCATTTTTTCGGGGTTCTGCGAGTTTAGCCATTGTGGTTCCCTGGAGTCCCGATGTTAACGTAGCGAGTGTCTGCTCCAGGTCGTCACCACCTTAGGTAGTCGCCGCCTTTGTAGATTGGAAGGAGATTTGTCACAATGCGACTAGTTTGGTGCCAGGACGATGGTCCATCCTGACATTGGTTTACTATTAGCTGGGCTTCATTACGGAAACGCCGGTCTCATTTTCACGTTGGGGGACCCTGCTAGGGGATGAAGCCTCCGCTGTACATCGCAGCCTTACACCCAGGAACACCTCCCACCCACGATGGGGGGGGGGGGGGGGAGGTGAATCGCTGGTAGGATTAGTCACGAGAGAACAAACCACTTATTTTTGTTAAATACCAAATTAGGATTTTGAATGTTTGTTGTTCCATTCAGTTGCTCGAAATCCTTCCCCATTTTGTTCTTCCACTCATTATTGAGAATTTTACTACATATTTAAACTTTTGGATAATAGTGAGGCATTTTTCTGGCCCCTTTTTGTTACTTTCCCGGCATATCTTGGACGCAACATGACCAACTATTACCGACAGTGACCGTCTTAACGACCGACTGAAATGCATCAAACTCTCCCAAGACTACGTTTGTAAGTGTAGAATCCAATGTCCCAGGTAGCTTCAGTGTTTCTAATTGGACTACTTTGCTCGTGTTATGGGAACTTCTCCAGAAATTTGCAAAAATTAATGACTTGCCTACCATTTGTCGCTATAAAATTGAAAATCCCTAGCCACCTTTACTTTTTTAAGAGAATGTTTTGCAGAAAAATACATAACAAAAACAGAAAGAGGAAACGAAGCAGTTTAGTTGTTAGATAATTCGTATTAAATAGAAGTTTGTGAACTACTTATCGAAATAGGGAACTTTTCGTTGCTTTTCAAATATTTCTGTTAATCGAAATTTGCGTTGTGCACACCTGAGTACATAGATACCCCTGTCTTAACGAATTTCTTGGGCCCAGCACTACTCACATTAGCGCGTTGCTGTACCATCGTCCATGAACGTCATCTTTTTGAGTGTGGCAACGTCTTCGAACGTCTTTCCCTTCAAACAGTGTTAGAGTTACAAAGAAACTACAAAATTGTTCAACGAGCTATATGTGGTCTCTCTAGAGTAAGCCATTAGCGACTTAGAATCCTATCTTTCTCATTTACTCGTATTCTGATCGCATACCATCAGCGAGACCCGTTAGTGCTTATCTTCAGATGTACACTATCGGGATCTAAAAGTCGGGTTATCTGTCAAAAGTTTGGTCTGCATAATGCATTGTCTATTTAAAAGGGTTGCAAGAAAATGGCATGGTTGATGCTTCACGTCATGCTTCAGTTTCATACTAGAGCACAGGAAGGAAATTGAAATCGCGAGTTCCTCGTGATTCAATTAGTCGGTAGCTTCTTTTAGAAGCCATGACGGGACCCATGGTGTTCTCTTGCTCTACTCTTACCATTGTAGAAAATATCGGTTCTGTCTATACATGCTTTGTTTCTACGTTTTACTCTTTGATGTTTTTTCTTCTGCTGTTCGTCTTTTACACATAGGTGACTATACGAATCTTATGTGGGCCACAGTTTTGCGACCGAGTGTTTTGCAGTCTACAGTTTTGCTTTATTTACTCAGTTTATAGCTTATATAATACACACGTTGTGGGAGTCGTTTTTCATGAAAAGCTATCTGTAGAACTACTGATTTACAAAAAACTGTTTTTTGGACGAGTTTATGCGTATTGTGGGCCTCATTGCTATTAACCCTTAATGCCCCGCTACAGTAGCTCGTGGTTCGCTCAACCGATTATGAGCAATTTTTCATCGGTGGCAGACCTTCTGGTTTTTTGGCAATAAAAAATATTCCTTTAATAAGTAGAGTGGTTTAGGTGATCTGAAGAAAATTTATGTCCAGTTAAATGCTAAACCCATAAATCTTCATTTTCGATAGAGTGTCGTGGTAGACTTTCCAGGCGTCCGTCTAACATGTTTCAATAACCAACTCGAATAACTTATTTCGTGTTAGATTCCCTGATTACCAGAGAATACGCTGTTTGTTCGCTTGTGTGCACAAACAGTTTTGCCCAGTTGTATATCTTTCGATCACCTAAAGTCTTGAGGAGTTGTTCAAAGAGTGGCATTGTGCAACGTAGGCATCATAGTTATGCCCCCTGCATCACTTTGCTTAACGTTCAATTGTCCTCTCTTCATCTTTGCTACATTGTCTACTTAAGAAGTCCTTTCCTAATCTTCCTGCACGTGCCGGCCAAGTATGTCTTTCTGGAATAATTTGTCATCGAGCCAGACACTTGTACACTACTTTTGGATACACAGTTGTCTTCCTTTATCAGAAAAATCGTTGATAGCTTTTTTATCAAAGAGTTACAGTTCGATTTTCGAAGGGTCTTCAATTGTATATTATATGATTCCCGTACTCCACCGATACCTAAACCGGGTATTGCAATATTTCTCATTGCAGTACGAGCACGTTGCTGGTTCGACCACGCTTCAGACCCACAAGGTTCTTCATCCTTCTGAAGTCGAGGAATTGGTAGCAGACTTGTCTGGGAACAGTTCATCCTTTGCTCCCAAATGGAAACCCTCTAGCCTGGCCATCTTAGGACCTCAGGAAGAGTCGAATCGATTGGTGTTCATAAGGAAGATGACAACCGTCATTCGGCAGCCGACCCCACACGGGAAAAGTTCAAAGATCATTGTGGATAATGGATCCGAGGAAACGAATGGAATTCAAGAAGTTCTGGAATCCGCACACTAGATATGAGGACTGTTAGTATAGAAAAGAAAAAAGGTGCAGAACCATGAATGTTGTCATCTCTTTAGCAGTTCTCGACTTCCACAGCTTTACATGTATTTGTTTACCTCGTTTACAACAAGACCCCAAATGTCACTTATATGATCATCTTCGTGCTCATTCTTCTCAGTGTTTTATTTTTCTCCGTTGATATCGAGTATATCAATGGCGAAGTGGAATTCACCTTTAACTAGCATAATTCCAGCTTACAAAAATCGAATCAATTCTTGCCCAGTCCTTTGCAGTTGCAATTGTGAGTATTATATTGTATGGAATAGATAGCTATAAATGCTGAATTAGGCGTTACATATATCACGAGATCAATTGCCAAGACTGATAGCACCGTTCTTGCATAGTGGACGAGTCCCCTTTTCTTTTGCCCACATAAAACTGCTGAGCGTATTCCGAAAACATCTGAAAACACATGGAATAACATCGAGTTGGAGCACGAGCACCTAGAAAAGCCGAATTTTAGAGTAGAAAACACAGTAAGGAGGAATGGTTTTTTTTCTTTTGGGAGTGAATGTGAAAACGGAGGATGCCATTCTCATATGATTTGCATAGCAGATGATCACAGATGAGGCGTAGTCACGAAAAGAATAATATTTTGAAGCCAAAATTTCCATCCACATTCTTAGTTTTGGGAATCCATGTAAGAACTCCTGCTCAACATGGCGATTCAAACGATGGTCATTCTCGTCTTAGGTTACGGAACTGGAACATGGATAAAACAAATTGGGGGCATCTGTGGCTTTATCGACTAACTGAAAGACCCGAAAATCCGCGCTCATCTCTGATTCTATGGTCCTCCCAGCGCTCTGTTATGCTGCAGAGACGTGGGTTGATATTTCAACAACGTCAAGAATGCTTCGAACTACTCACAGAGCGCTTGAGTTGGGAGGCAAAATGGCCCGTGCCGAGGTGGCGGATAGGAGTTTAATCGCAGACCAAAAGCGACCTTTGCTTCTTTGAGACGCAGATGGATCCAGGGGATAGACTCCCTGTTTTTGGTGTACCGAATCGACACATACATTCTGGATTTACGAAGGGTATTGATGCGTGTGTGCGTGACTGTGTTTTCGTTCATGCAGATTGTATTCTATGAGTCAATTCGGCCAAAACCCTGTAACCAAGTAACAGGGAAGTATATGAGAGGCGATTAAGAATCGCCTGCAACAAATAAGCCTCTCGTCTACACTGGGAGGGACTGGCAGCTGCACACGCCAATGTTGGCCAGGACGAGTACGGAGAGACTGTTAAAATTTCAGTGGGCATTCTAAACTGCCTAAATCTCAAAAGACTAAGGTGGCAATCTGTACCTACAATGCGCACACACTTGCATCTGAGTCCTCGATTGAATACTTGATCGTGCAGGCAAGAAGAGTAAGCTACGGCGTCATCGGAGTGGCCGAGACGAAAAGACGCCACCCATTCAATGCCGTCTATGACACCAGAGAAGAACTGTTCATTAAAACATGCTGCGGTAGAGGCATCGGCATGTACGACTTTGGCCACAAACATCGATCCATTCCATCAACTAAGAATCTGAATTGGACGTCAACGACTGAAGAGATGTGGATCTCTACCGGCATTGACAGTATTCGTCGTTTACGCACCGGTATCAAGCTATTACGAAAACGAAGTCGAAGCGTTTTATATGGACTTAGAGAAGTTCTGCAGAGAAGACATTGCATTCTTTAAGGTTATCATTGGAGATCTTAGCGCTAAGGTTTAACCCAGAACAACGTCTGAGGAGCGTCACATTGGAACCCACGGATTAGAATGGAACGACCAGTTTTGGTGTTAGAAAGATGCCGTTATCGGTAATATAGGTGAAGGGAACTATCGGCTCATTCAACATCTTCACGTTAGCGCAATGGAGGCTGAGAGTTCGAAATCACCAAGAGACGTCGGTCTCAGGAAGCGCTCGAACTGATTCCCCAGCGTGGGATCGCTCGAGCTATAGACTGTCGCCAACTCTCATCCGAACTTTCAAAACAATGCAGACGAGAGATAAAAGTAGGACTTAAAGAGAGGAGAGAAGTAGTTATGGTCAAAGCTGCAGAAGATGGAGAAAGCATTTACGAGATCCACTGAATCTTCGCCAATCGCAGGACTAAGGTGTTTGTACTCCCTTCCTTAGACGGATCAATTACAGTTTCCAGAAAGGCAATAGAGAAAAACGTTTACGATTACCACTCAGATTTCTTTAGTAGTTACGTCTTCCTTCCCTCATATGAAATAAACGAGGATGGATATGTCGTACTACCGGTTCTTCAGAAATCCGACATGCTAGTTCGTCGGTGAAGAATCGAACATTACCAGGTCCGGACAAGATAAGATCTGAACACCTGAAGAGCCCTCTGCCAGTACTCTTAAACACACTGACCCTACTCTTCAGACGTTACGTGTCTGAATGTGTTCAGACGTGTCAGACGTGTTCAGATGTGTCAGACGTGTCTCAAAGTGTCGCAACAGTACGGGAAATGGCTTTCTGACTTTCATCGATTGGTCTTCAGCTAAATCTCACAGGAACGATTTTCGTGATCTCAAAGTGCTACAATTACGTTTATCTAGTTCGGAAAATCAGCGTGATGAACGACCTAGGTTCAGAGCTGAACAGGAGGAAACGAGCTACATGGGGAGCTTTCAAGGGCAGAGAAGATTTAGTGAGCACATTCCCGTCTTCACGACTCTTGCTGCCTTAACGTATACGTCAGAAACCTGGTGGTTGCGCTCATAAGATGAAAAATAACTTGGCGTTATTGAGCGCGCAGTCAAAGGGATGGTGCTAAGAGTATCTCGTGTCACACAAGTGAGGAAAAGGATCAGAAGCTTCAATTTACGTCAACGATATGAAATCAAAGACCCCGTTACATACTCCAAAGTAAGGTGGACCGAATGCGTAATGCTTGTGAACGACAGCCGATGGAAAAGTGCCGTTAGTGATTCGATTGCCCGGTATTTCAAACGTGCAGCAGGAAGACTACCGATCCGATGGTCACAGTTCTTCATGTAAACCCCAGAGGAAAGTTATGGTGGTCAACGAGTCTCTAGAGCGAAGAGAACCGCTTGGCTATTCTTTCGCGCAACAGAAAAAAATGGCCGAATTACTGCCACTTTTTGGAGTCACTCGGCGATGAACAAGACCACAGGTTATACAGTTGACAGCTCCTCCATCTTCATTTTTATGTTTAATGCTCTTACCTAACCGCGGAGGTTTGTTTCACGTGTTTTTGAATTGAGGTGAATGGCAAGGATTTGGGTTCACCTCTGTACTATAGGCATAAGAAGGAACGCATAGCGGAAAACTAGCTTCTGATTCAAATGCTCGCGTATAACCGGACATGCTAATTGTGATAGCCTGGGAATGCCTTGAAGCGGTTGCATCGGAATTCCATGATTAAAAAACTTTCGAATTTGTCAAAATACTGTTTAAATAGCAAGCGTGTAAATAACAAGCGTGCTCTGTGCTATTCATAAAGACGAATTACCCATTTCATCGATTTATATTGATGATCACTGGCGTGGCAATAATGCTTTTCTTTTCCACAGCCTCATTAGGGAGGCAGCGTATCCTGCTTGTGAAGTGTAGTTGATTTTCAAGTGAGCCACGGCACTAGCCATTAGGATTTCCATGTCCAGCGACTATTTTGTTTTGATTTTTGTTTTCTTTTTTGCGAAAACTGAATTCCAATGCAAGGTGTGCGCTGGGCTCAGGATCATTGCATTGTTCGTTCTAGTTCTTGTTTTTGTCACAGTTCTAAACCTCCCTTTGTTCTCTTTTACTGGAACTTTTTGTACTAGTGTTGAACTCTCCACTTGGACGAAAAATTTGTAGAACTTTTCTGTAGAACATTTGAAGAGCGTTGGTGCAGTTGGTAATTTGCTGCCTTAAATTGAGGAGGTAAAGGATCAGGCGTGAAGACAAGAACTGTTTAAATGGTCTTCATGGCATCTCATTGTTTTCTTTTCATATTAATAACATTCTTCATAACCTGTGTGGGCAGACGAAACGTTAAGTGCGCAGTATAACTAGGCTCGTTTTTTGCTGGTCAACACTTCTCCCACAGTCCTGTTAGCCGCGTTGTAGCATTACAATTAGAACAATTAGATCCTTTCCATTACGGCGATGGTCCTGAGATACGTCTTGCCTAGGTTTTGAATGCAAACTTTTCGATATCCAGCTATTTTGCTTAACCAACCGTATGCCACTCTAACCAGCGGTTCTTCCTCAGTGGAAGGCACTTAAAAACGGTTTTGAAGAAGGCGATATTACGGAGACGTTAGCTACTGTTGCATTGCATGTTTTTATATGTAAACTTAAGCTGTGCTTCATCGTCCCACAACGACGGCCAATTGTTTGCAACTGGGATGTTGTGAAGGTAGTAAATACTTGCAATCATATTAAGCGTGATGTGTGTACGTCTTAGATTAGCTTATATTGCAGTAGCTTTATTTCAATTTTGTTAAGTATGGGAAACTCCTTGGAGAACATCTCTCGCATTCATACCTTCTTTGTATTGCTAGGCCGCTTCAAACCATCGAACTCTTTACTCGCAAAATCTCTGGTTGGTAGTCTGACGAATGAAACACTGGTTCGTTTAAGGATTCACTCCCAAAAGTATTAGTAGGAGCTAAATTTTCCACTCATAACTCTGAGATTTAATATGATACAATTTTTTTGTGAATAAACTTTTCTTTACGTAACCCATCTTCTTATCTACTGTGCGGATCCCAACACTTCTTATATTTCTCGCATATATTATCCAAAAAGATTTCTGAACTTTTCATGCGTGAAACAGGTTGCTGGTTGAGGACTGTCGTCTTCTTTGTGAATGTTGTTAAATGCTAATAGAGTCGATCCTACCTCGAGTCCGGGGATGACTGTGCTAGAGAATTCCTCTATAAATTTTAGGGAGTGGGTTGGGCCCAGGTAAATGGTGATAATTTTCCGACCCTGAAAGGATGCGAATCTTGGTGAGCCCGGAGCGGGGTCGAACAGACATCGTGCTTGTGACGAGCAGCATCACTGCCACTGTGCTACTCATGCCCTAATAGCAGACATTTTTCACCTACCTATATACATATGTATGTATAAACTTATTTTTCATAAAGGGCGCATGTGGCGCAGTGGTCGGAGGCGCTCTGTGATGCACATGGGATCGATTCCAGCGTCCATGGCGCACCAAACCTCTCATCCATCCGGGGTCGGCAAATTGGTACCACACTTGTTTGGAAGGATAGCAGGAGTGGCTCGATACATCGGTAGGCCACTGCGAGTCGTTGTAAAGGCCAGATATGCATCCAATCACCTCCAAACGATGCTTAATGAAGTCGAATGCGTGGCACATCCCTAAGGTATTGATCAACGCCTGGAGCTTTATCATCTTTTATCCTTTTATTTTTTATTTTTCGAAATTGTGTAAGTGAATTCCATGTTAGATTTAGCGAGAACAATTACGTCAGAAGGCGTTGAAGCGCTACTTATCTCGTCTTGTAATTGTGGAGAAGGATTTTCGTGGTGGCTACTTTGCTTCGATTCGCTTTGGTTGTCGAACATTCGTGTGCCAGCCGTTTAGCGGAGAGCCCCGTCTCAAGGTTAGTTTAATATACATTTATGTTTCATCTTATCTGTTCTCCTCACTAGTGATTTTGATTCCTTCTAGATCTCGACAGGTGACGAATATGTGGTTACACGTGGTCAACGAGGTTGGATCTATGGTTACAAAAAGGATAATGAAAAACTTAAGGGATGGGTTCCACGTGTTTGCGTCCGATTCACTGATAATTATCCCTTTCAAAGACAAGTCGAGGAGTCATCTTCTGTCAGCGACAGTACCTCAAAGTCTTAATTTTCTGTATAGACCACACATTTTAGTAGAAATTGTAACCGTTTCATATTTTACCGACAGTGTTGGTTTCAGCATTTCTTATGCGGTCTTCATGAAGCAATCCACTTGTCATTTGTCTTTGCTACTGAATTTGTGATCTTCATCCTCAAATGGTAGAGACCTAGCTAAACTTTCCTCCAATTATGTGTTTAATTTCAATTAATAATAGTAATATGCCATTTCTTCCTAGTTTTGGCGCTAATTTTGAATTTCTGTTGTTTAGTTTCAACTCGCATTCCAATATGTTTTATGAAAAGGGGAATTATAGGACATAGCAAAGAATATTGAAGAATATCATTCTCTTATTGCTCAATATAGGTGTATTTCGCAATCTGGCAAGTAAATCTTTGATGGTGCTAGTAGTCTGAATTCAGGTTACTTGAATAGTGCGGTTGGAGGGGATTGAGGACGGGGCGTTGTGGTCGGCGGGTGGCGCTACGGCCTTCTCCAGTGAGAGTCTTCGTTGGGGGCGTGACCAGCCGTCGATGCTCCTCCCTTAGTCGTGTGAATCGCTCGGCTTTCACCTATTGCAACTCGTGTCCGAGCCACGAATGAATCATTTGTTTCTATTTTTTGTTGAATATTTTGATGCTTGCTTCTGTAGACCGAAGTGTTCGGTATAACCTACACTTGGAAAGCATCACTGATTAAAGTCTACTCGATAGGAAATGAACCACGTCGATGTGGATCAGATACTGGAAGATTACGCATGGTCTCACTTCAAGGATATACAGTCGTTGAGGAAGACTCGTTTGGAGAATTTTAAGTCGGTGGAAAGAGATGATTGCGAGTTCGTTATTGTAAGTGCTTAATTCTGACCCTCATTCCCTATAAAAGCGAATGAATTCATTAGCATAGCACTTTGATTCTTCTACTATTTGTTGTATTTACGTTCTGGTGGTTGATATCATTTTGACGGAAACACTGATAAGCAAACCCGGGCTGGTTGGCTTGCTAACTGTTCCTAACAGATGACAATTCCCTTTCGAAATCGATCAATTTCACAAAGATTTTGCAAATATGGTTAAATTTCTTCTTTTTAGGATTAGTTACTGCTAAATAAAAGTAAAAACAATCTTGAAACTGTTTGTACGGATTTTTCCTCCGAAAGTTTGGAAAACTCATAAGATGCTGATGCCCTTCGATGGAGTCTCTATTTGGGCGCGTAGGATTTCCTCTTTGTGCGGGTTTTCCGTGATCAACATCTTGACGCCTTGTAGCTTTATAGATTCTACATAGAAAATCCATCATCTTGCGGATTTTTCAAGACTTTTTTCTGAATGGCTTTTCTTCACCAGTACTTAACCGTAGTTGACAAGTTCTTGATAGCAACAACTTCACCTGCTTTGTCCTTGTGTTTCTCGTTCAGCGTATCTCCGTGAGGAGTTTTCGATCTAACTTACATTTCTTTTGGTTGTAGCACTGATGCCGACACGATATTGCGTTTCCCGCATTCTGTTCATCTGATGCGGTGGTAGCAGTCGTCATCTGAAGATCAGACAATGCGATAGTAACTGGCCGGCGAACGGCGACGATTGATCGGTCGCGTGCGACTTCCCGCTGTGTTCGAGTCAAATCATGCTCAGCTGTATACGCCGATTTTCAATGAAAACTCACCAAACAGCTGACAATACAACTAATATATGTCGATAAACTGACCTGTAGTCGATATACCAGTAGTACTATCGTCATAGTATGAAGCTGAAATTCTGCTAAATGAACCCGATTTCGTTCAGCTCATTTGGGAATCAAAGAGGACAACGCAGTTGCAGGCCAAGCTAGAAAAAGCTTACTTTACATTTAAAGCGGTGTATCTAGAACGATGGTGCTCGTTATGGCGCGCGTGCTAACGTCTTTAGTGCAGCAAACCCTGTTGCACGACCGAGGCGCTGCAACAGCGATTTAGAGGCATTCTGAAGATAATCTGTATATGATCGGTATTCAAATCCATCCCATCACGCGATTTATTGATGAAGCACCTTGGCTTTTGTTTTTATGATTGTTCTCTTTGCTATAACACATGCAGTACATCTGTGAATCAGTGAGTAACAGGATCTGAAAGAACTGAAAAACTACCGGATGTCGTCGCGGGACGCAACGTTGTAATAGACGCTTAAGCATGATTCATTACACAATGAGGCATTGTGTTCGATAGTGCTCGACGGCTTTTCCCAGGGGTCTAATCATCGACTCTTCGCACTGTTTGGACAACCCTCATCATCTTGACATCTTCGACGGACGTCCGAACGGCCGCTAACATTCCCCTGCGCACTGTGGGATAAGCAAACCGTATCCTTTGAACTAACTTCTAGTCTAAAGTGAGCACTTTTGAGCTTAGGTATTAGAGCAGATTGCGAAGGTATGCACAGTTATAGTTGCTATATAGTTATAGTCACAGTTATAACAAAGCTATGTGTCTACTTGTGATTACACGGCAGCACGAACGCCATCCCAATAAAAAGCTTTACATCACCACAAGAATCTCTTACATATATCCTCCAGTTTATTTTGTATCTGAGCAGTTCGAGTGAGAAAAAAGTGCTTCAGTGAGTAGCCCATGAATAAAACGCCTCTTTCCAATCTATCATCCATGAAAGCAACCGTCACATAGACGATTATCGTTGCCAACAACGACTAGCACATGAAATAGCCGTCATTTGAATGATGTCACATCGAGTGAGGTATCGGCAGCGAGTCGGTCGTGGAGAGGGCCGATCGGCTGGCTTGTCACTCGGCTCCAGTGGAAGCCGGACGGCCGGACGTCGTTGTGGTGGCGTTTTTGATGAATGGTCCGTAATTGCTGCACCGCAACGTCCGGCACGTTCATCGGCCCTAAAGGGCCGCTCGGTTCCGTCGCTTGTCGCAAGTAAATCTCGGCTGTTACCACTGAAACGAGCGACTTTCTCTCTGCCGCTCCCTGAGCAATTGCTCGTTCCAGCTGTGAATATCGAATTACATCCGAGTTATAATGCTTGCCTAATATCCCTCGGTTAAATTCGTTCGTTTCGTTAGCAACATATTGACGCTTTTCTTCGTACATTCACAGAATCTAATATTCTGATAAACAAACCGATCGATAAGCACGCTCCATTTAGAAAAATAAATACATTTGTCCTGACGAGTTTCCAAGCACAGAACTGCAACGAAGATCTTTCTCATTACATTATCACTATTTTATTACAAAAAAACCCTCCACTACTTTCCTAAGGACGTAAAGAAATTTGGTCGGGTTACGTTCAATACAATTGCGAACCGTCGTGGGATTAAACAACTATAAACTCTTCCCTGTGTAAAATAAGGCTTCAACCTGTTGAAAAATTTTTTCATTTTTACATAAACCATCATCACGTCTACTGTGTGGATGCCAGCACTTCTCATATTCGATTCGTGCCCTCACATCATGAATGACGCATCATAGATAGATAGATATTATCCACGAAGATCTTCCAATTTTACGTGTAGCTTCGGTTGCTGCTTTACGATTTTCATTTCATCTTGAATGTCATAGAATGCTGGTCGAGTCGATTTTGCCTGGAGTCCTGAGATAGCCGGGCTAGAGCGTTCCCAGTTGGATTGCAGAGAGTGGTTTTTTTCCCAGACAAGTCCGGTACCAGTCTTCTCACACCAGAGAGATGGGAGTCTTGGTTGGACCCAAGCGGAGTCGAGCTGTTATAGTGCCCATAATGACCGACTTCACTACCACTGTGCTGTCTGCTCCCTATGTTGTAAAATGTATAATCGATTTTGCGAACGGGACCATATTACTAGATAATCACTATAATAAGGTTTTTAACAAAGAGCCTTGTCTGAACGCAACTTTCCGGCGCTCTGAAATTGGTCAAAAACGCTTCAACTGCTGCTTCAATCGATTAAACGTTCGCCCCTTCTAAATATTATGAGCATACCCGGCTTGTTTTTAGCTGTACAACTCTCATGCCCAACCAACTTCTTCTATTCTCGGAATAGTCTGAGCAGTAATGACTGCGAATCCCACGGGAGATCCGATTAGCACATGAAGATAACACCTCTCGCTCGGCCTGCATCTCAAGGACTTCATCGATTCGCAAAACCACTATATTGTTGTCCCGGAACAAAGTTGGTTGTTTTCTATCAGACAGTTCTATCGTTCACATAACCAGTTGTGTGACGGCATCACAGAGGGAGGCTAGGGGTACGGTAACTGGATGATGACTCATCACCACTTGAGGAAACCACCCACTCATGCAGCACACGGTAGTTCGAGGAGAAACACGTTCCGGGAATGTCGTATGTTGGTGGACAATTGACTCGGACCCTTCCTTTGGGAAGTTGACAACATTCATTCCGACTGATTATTTCTGCCTATAAGACTTCAAAATGGCCTGTTGTTGTTCTGCAATGAATAGACAACGACGGAAGTGAAGAGGCCAAAATCGGTAATCCTCTGCTCAAACAAAGAACCAGCAACTCTCTAAAAACGTGAATAATGAGAATTCTGGAATTATCAGAAGAATTAGGCCATAATGTTGTCGGTATAAGCGACAACGGAGGTAGCTAGTGCTGTTCTTAATTGTGATGAAAAACTGAAGCCAGCATTACTATCCAGAAAATCCTCTTCGTCATATCGTCGATTTTGCACAGTGGTGTCCATTTTACAATCGTTTGTTGTTGTAGTAGCTGCAGTTATCGCTCAGCTGCTGACTAATTGGTTCGTTATCGACTCGTGAAAGTGTCGGATCAGTTGACAGACCCTATCGGCTCAGTCAACTGTTAATGATTGCCCGAATAACACTTGATATCGTATAAGGTGACGATGGCGTTACTATAAAATGTAGTTCTTTGTCTGATGCTTTTTTAAAGAAACTGAATCTCTTGGGAAGAACGCGTAGTTCTCTGGAAACGTTAGACCGTCAGCTCCAAAGCTACAGGAAGAGTTCCCTGCATTCTAGCGACTTTCACTAAGGGTGAGGAAGAACAGGGACACGATAGAATTTGTAGAACACTATGAAAGGAAGTTCTCGCTTAATTTTCTGAAAAATCCCGAGGTCTCATCTCCATCTCTCAATCCATAAATCCATGAAAAAAATCTTTGGCAAACTCTTTCTTCTTATTAGAGGCCTTTATTAGGCTTTGTAACTTATAAGCTTATGTAGCATCATTGTGTCATAGTTAAGAAGCAAGTTTGCTATTTGCTTGAAAAGACCAGACTAGTGAGAGAAATTTATTCCACATTTGTTTTCAAACGTTGTTTTCACCACCGAAAAAGTTTTATTACTTTAAAAGGCTAGGTTTTCCCGCCGTAGTGCTGCAATATTTTGCTGGCAGAACTACATCACAGGGTTTTTGCTGAAATTTTTACTCTCTCTGTGGTTTTTTGCATTTCTGACTGGAGTTTTCAGAATCGCAAGAACTTGACGTGGATCAATGAGGAGCCACAGTATACCAATTTTACTCCGACGGGTTCTAAGCCGTACACACTCTTCAAGTCCGTCTACACCAATAACACCAACAGGTCGGCTCAATTTCATTTTCTCATTACTCTAATGGTCGGGGCTAGGCGTCACACTGAAATTTGAGTGTATCGATCAAAACGAGAATGAATAAATTTCTTTTAAAACGTCCCGGAAAGCGAAAAATACCATAGAAATGGAACAAGCAGTGATAGTGACGAAAAGACTACAGAAAGGAAAGCGTACTTTCGCAGTCACGTTTTCTTCCTTTTCTTTTCTTCTTTTCTCTTTTTCCATATTTTTTTTCGTATTTTTTGTCTTCCTCTTCTTCTCGTCGCTTACACTTATAGTTTCTAGCTACTTTGTTAATTATAACTTGGTACAAGCTTTTTTTGCTATTAAAAGAACAACACAGGTGAAAAGAAACCGAGCCAAATAGAACATTTAATGAAAAACTATGGATGGCGGAGTCAATAACTATAGCTGAGGTTATTTCACTCCCAGTCGGAATTGAATGAGGAGAGCAATCGTAAAATGAAATCGTGTGAGTAATTACTATGAGCAAGTTTTTTTCAGACCACAGGAATATTCATTCAAGACGGAAAGAACAACCGAGTCCATATGCTCGATAGCCAGAGAACAGGGTTACACTACAGGAGCTGAGGCGGAGCTCACGCTAAAAACTCCATGTGAGTTTTCATCACAGCATTGTTTCACTTATTGCTCTTCTACTTACCTGAGAAAAGCGGTAGGACACTACACAACAACTCGACCACCTTAACCACCAAGTCGTACAACTGTGCGGCCTATCCACAGTGTGGTGACTAATTTTTCAGCTTGACCTCTTTCTTTTCATTGTTCCTATTGCATTCGCTTAATTAAGTTTCGTTTCTCTCTACTCTAATCCAATCATCGACATCGGAGAACGATTCGTAAAACTAAATTACATATTGATTGAAACTGAAAACTGTCTTACTGTATTCTTTGGAAGGGAAGCTGTTGTGATACACAATTGGTTTATAGCATTCAATCTGAGGGTGGTTGACGAACGATAGGGTTTAGCTCATCTACTTCACTTGTTGGATGATAGCGCCTTGGATGTTATCATTAAAATTAAGCCGAATCAATGAAACTCATGAACAAAGAACAGATTTTACTTATTTCTTTCGTAATCAACTAAAAGAGCAGACGTCAGTAGTCCCCAATTTCTTCACATTGTTACTCTCAGTTGTCGTTTGCTGTTGTTATCTGATGTGGAGGAATTCCCACTTTCTCCGTTCACCCCTTCACCGCCTTACTATTCTCAAGAAAACCAGACCTACATCTCACTTCGTAGTGCACTTTATTACTTGAAATAAAACCATTAGATCCTTCAGAACCTTGTCAACAAGATGCAAGCTTTTCCATTCCATACTATCATAGTGAGATTTTGAACTTCCGGAGTCAACAAAACCTTTTTCTGGTGTTTTATTCGTCGACACTCATGTTCCGAGCTGCGCACCGATTTAACAAGCGATATCCCCGAATGCATCTTTGATATTGACTGCAGATTTACTCGAACTTTACTGTACTTTATCTTATCGGACACGTCTTATAACAGTTTGCCAACCCGGTTGAGATAGAAAGATAGATAAACACGAGGTCGATCCGGTGACCAATTCAGTGTGTATTGCAATTTACGTCTAACTACTGCGCTAAGCGCAATCATATGTGTGTCTTGTACTTCACATTCAATGAGTAATTTAAATCTGTGGAAAATATACACGACGTATGATCTTAGTAGGCAAGAAGACCAGGTTATTATCCGAAATCCTTACTGGTATTCCTTTCTCTCAGTAAATAAAATGTGAAGTCATCGCGACTATAGTTTTTTAAAAGATGGAAAACATAATGGAATGCCAAATGGAAACGGAAGCTTTATGTGTCTTAGACAACATGAATTTATGCTTTTGGTATATCATTCAAATTGTAGCCTAGGTTCAGTTTTTCTCAAACCTAAGATTTAATGCATTCTACGCTGTTTTTGGGAAATCCTGGCATTCTGGTTAGCGTTATTGACCATGTTTGCCATAGAATAGGTTTGCTGAGCGCTCAAGGTTGGAATTTTTGACTCCGAATCGCTAAAGCGTTGTGAATTGTTTGTTTGAACTAATTTTGGCCGCCAACGAGGTGTCGTTTCTTGTCACCGATCTGGATCGTTCGTTTGTTAGAACAGAAAAAACTTCTGTACGACTGCGCCAGCGAATATAGCCACGGAACAGTCAAGGGCGATGAGGAAATTAGACGTAATGCTCAAGGTTGACACTTTCATCAAAGTATGATGAATGTTAGTCACCTCAAACAAGATTGCTTCTAAGAATGCCGAACAGTTCCAATTATTCTGAAAAGAAAACTATAGTTTGTCGATTCAGGGTTAAAATTTGGATGTCAGAGGAGTGAACACCTTCCTCTCTTTTTGTGAAAGTTGGGAAATCTAACAGAGTTTGCTATGAAGTGATTTAGATATGCTTAGATATTACATGCATCTTTTTTTCATCAAAATTTCTAGTGGTATCCTTTTATTACCGAATGCGGTTTTTGGGATACAGGATTACGTTGAGCCTTGCACTGACGCATACACCCTTGTCATGTATTATTTTTTATCATATAATACTGAGTGCTTTTCATTGGCTATTATGGGAGTAGTCATTTCACTTTAACCGGTCCTTCATTTTAATAGTGATTTGTACTTTAGCAAACTATTATCAGGCCTCATTCTGTTCCACTCCAATGGGTCCAAAAACAAGCGCGAATAGCTCACAATGCTTGTTGGATCGAAGTAGGCCTTAAATACGGCTTTGGTGCAATTGAGTGAGGTGTGAATGACATCTGCAACGTTGGGGTCCTTAGATTTTTTAGGAGTCATATTACTCTGTCTTTTTAAGGTGAAATCGCCGAATTAAAAGCGGGGTTCAAGCATGAGATGCATTTCAACAATCTGAATGAGAACTGCCAGACGGAGATTCTGACGTGGGGTGTCGACAGCAACGTTCAGGTTCTTGTTGCTTTCAAACAGATCATAATTTGAGATTTACTTAACTGCTTGCTTTATGAATAGTTTCTTTTACCCTCTGTTTCAGTTGCGCTTAATAGCATTTTTAATCATAGACAAGAAAAAATGCTTGCCTTGAGTTCTCACCATGCTAACCCTCACCGGAACTCAAAGCTTTGTTAATTTTAGCGCTGTTTACTATATCTTAGGACTTAAACCCTTTAAATGCAAAGTAAACTTTTTTCGAGTTTAATATTTTTAGGTGCCACCACATTACTCTACCGAAGCGTCAATTATAATTGAAGAAATGAACTATCGAGGATCGTACTCCATCACTACCAAATTGTCGGGTAATGTGACAATTTCGATAAAAAGGTAGGATCTCTTCCTTCAACTTCGATGTAAACTATGTTTCCATTCTACTTTAATACATCACCTTCTGTTTTTTTTACTCAAGGTCTCATCAACATTGAAAAATGCGAGTTTTAATAACGAATTCTATCACCCCTCAGTTTTCCTGGTTTCCGTGTGTTAGTGATTCTTTGGAATAAAACCCACTTGACGGCTGGCCAGGTAATCGTTTATCGGGCAAGACTAACCCTGTTAGTGTGTAACCCTCAAAGGCGATACACAAAGCCCCTGATGTTTGCATAGGTCGAGTATGCGGTAAACGTTTAACGAGTAGTCACATTGAATAGCTCTAATTGAACCGGATGAAGGACGGGCGAACAGTCATGCCTCCCGCTGACGTTAGAGCACCCCATCGAGTCACTACGATTTTTCGAGGGGATTTAACCATCTATTCTAACTGGACAATTGTACTAAACGATTCGGGCAGAATTAACTGGATATAGTGACGGGCTTCTTTTAATTGGCTTAAAAGAAAGAACGCTGAGCAAGTAATGTTAGTTACGAGACGATGTGACACGTTGCTGTACTCACAATAAATTCCCGTTTACCTTCTCAGGTACACTTAAATGGCATGTCCTCGTATGTTGTTAGGGTTTCAGCATCTCTCGTTCGGTTCATCTACAGCCGTCGTTAATGGGGGTGACGTGTTTCCAACCATGTCGGAAGTATTTGTCTTCTCATCTTTACACTTCCTCACTGACATGGTGAATGCTTGTCGTTTCTCCTTAGAATCCTGAGGCGACCATGCTGCGATGTTCGAAGTTGTTTATTAGAACATAATGATTAGGAGTTGTACATCAGAAACAGGTGCTCCCTTGCGACTAGGGCTCTCATTCAGAACGGAAATGTTTCCTGCTATTAGTTCACCAACCAATTATGAACCACGTAACAGGTATAATTCCTCGTAGCAATCCTTTGATTTAGGGCGCTCGTAGCACAATGGCTAGGTGTCCTGAAATACACATGAGTTCGATCTAGTGCCCCAGGCTCACCAAACCCACCATCCCTTCGGGGCCGGCAAATTCGTACCAGACCTGTCTGCAAGAATAGCAGCACTGATTCGAAAGGTCGGTAGGCCACTGCGAGTGAAAATGTAGGCCATACATTCAGTCGCCACTAACGTTGTTTTATGAAGTCGAATGCTTTACGGATCCCTCAGCAATTGATCAACACCGACAGCTTTATCCTGTCGGTCTCATAATCTTTATTTAGCATTTTATGAAAAGATCGCTTCCACGGAAATATTGCTTTCGTCAATACGATCGTTTCACAATATCTACACTGGATGCTCTTGTAAAAACCATTCAGATTCTGCCGTAAAATAATTCTTATTATCAATATTTGCACTGCTTTTATTCTTGTTATAATGGAAAACATTTGCACGCTTACAGATTCAAAAAATCCTGCAAAGCACTCAGTCAAAGGTTTATGAGCACTTGTTCAAGTCTATTACATCCTTGTAAACCTCTTTGAGGGGCGCGTGTGGCGCAGTGGTTGGAGGCGCCACTGCGACACACACGTGGAATCGATCCCTGTGCCCATGGCCTACCAAGCCCTCCATCCCTCCGGGGTCGGCAAATTGGCACCAGACCTGTCTGGGAGGATAGCAGCACTGGCTCGATACATCGGTAGGCCACTGCGAGTCATTGTAAAGGCCAGATATGTGTGCAATCACCTCCAACGATACTTAATGAAGTCGAATGCATGGCGCATCCCCAGGGATTGATCAACGCCAAGAGCTTTATCCTTTTTATCTTAAACCTCCCTGATTAAGGTTGAAGATGGATTTCAGATCCATATCGTCACTGTCGATTCATAATCCTCGTTCGAAACAAGTTGAAATAATGGAAAATAAATATGATAATAGTGACCGTTACTATATGAGCCGCGATACAGTAATTCCTTCTCTGCTCATCGCTATTGAACTGTTTAGTGAATTCGCTAAACTTTAGTGGAAAAATAAGTCTAGGAGAAAATTCACAACAGCCTCATAACCCAAATCGTGCCCAAAAACATAAGACTGCTAAATACGGCAAAGAAATCAAGTCAGTTACTTAAAATTTCTATAGAAGATGCTTGTGGTTGCCCAGCAGTGAATATTTGTTCTTCTCCTCGCTTACATTTAGTCAACTTTATGTTGACACTCCGTCAAATTTCATTTCAACTACTTTATTGTCATGTTTTCTGGGTGAAGTGGCCATGAAGACAATTGGAATAGCTTTTTTAATCTTTCAATGTTTTTCTATTTGTACATGAATATTAAACTCTGCATACGATGCGACGAGTTTCAGAAGAAAGGATGATGCGCTGATGTTGCCGATTCGCGTCAACATCGTCGAAGTGTTTATGTCTCATCTTGACAGTCCTCATTGCCGTAAAGAGGTTCGTCACTTTCCTCTTCAATTTTTAATGATGTAGAAAGTTCACGTTGACATGGATGCCATCTTTTTCTCAATTTCTTTTACTGCGAATCCGTCTAACCCTAGTTAATATCGAATCTTTTCTGTTAAGACCTATGTAACGACGCCTAATTTCATCTCGTTACGGACTTAGTGCTCCTCAGAAAATCCGTGATAATTTCTCGATAGCCGAGGTGTTTAAGGGTTAGAGAGTACGAAAGATATATGAACGAGGCTTTACTCTATCTGGGAATGTGTGCTGCTTATTATATGTTTCTGTGTTCTACCTTTCGGCCACAGTGTCATCAGCATTTGGAAGTGTTTTACAAATTATATTGAGAGTACTTCTGTATTTTTTATGTCTTTCTATTCCATGGGGTGACAGTCATTCGTCATAGCAAATGGAAGCGAGATATAAAAACTTTATGAATAATATCCTGTGTTGACAAATAAACAAGCGGAAATAAAATGACTTTTATAGCCGTCATATCGGCCACAATGCCCCCTTCCCTTCTTATATGACTCCTATAGAGCTCATACCGTCGCGTAAATGTTAAAATCGAATCCTAATAGAGAGGCCGTGATTTTCAACAGAAGCTCCCTTACTTTATGTTTTCGTGAGAACAAAAGCACACAAACGTTATAATAATGTCAACATTCGAACATATTCGTTTAAGAGCTTCTAGAATTACCTGAAAATAGTTGAGTTGACCATTCAAGCTGCTGCACCAATGAGAAGGCTCAGATATTTCTTGTCTTCACTGGTGATGTCCACTCTTCTTCCTTGTGGAAGCCATTTGGGGTAAGCCTCATCTTTAGGCCTATCCCATCTGACTTCACAACTTTAGAAGTTTTTTACTATGATAGATTATTGCGTTAGAGCAAAACAAATTATGACTCTTACGAGAAAGAAAAGAACAAGGGAGGCTGCCACAATTCGAAGTACCATCTTGGAAGAGCTCTTCATAGTCGTTAAGGAATAATCGATGTTTTCTAATCTCACTGAAACGATCATTGTGTCGCCACAATGATGTATCGCGTTGTTAGATAATGATCGGGAATTTAGTCATTTCCACGACTTCTACAGCTAAACCAATCTTTAAGTCCAATGTTTCATTCACTGTCGTTAGGTCTGCTAGCAATTAGTCGAGCACAGATGGGGAGCACAAGTCTCGTAGGCAGAGATGCATCGGAGCAGAAGCCATGCGAGCACAAGCGGCGCCTCATTCCACTGCACAGCCTATCTGCAACACTCTTTGACACCACATCTTTTTTTTACATTTTTCTACCGCTTCTTCCCATTAATCATCGATTAACGCTACTGGGCAGCGGTAAGCACTATTCGTTGCCGTCGTACACCAGAGCCACTATAAGAGCCTTCCCTCAAGGGACACAGAGAACATCATTAGCGTAAGTTAGCCTTTGCCCAGGATTCCAGATTCTTTGGAGTCGAACTCATCCTTAGCAGATTGGATGATCATTCTTGAGATTGAATTCACGCTGTAGTTTTGATCGAACCTTACTATAAGTTTCTAGAATGAATAAGCGCACATTTTAGGGTATAGGCATTTCTACTTCATGTGAAAGCTTCAGAAATTTCTCGAATTTTTATTTCTGCACTGTTTTTACATTCAGAGGAGTCTTACGCAAAATTCGATGGTGTACGTATCAGCAGCACTCAATGCGTGCCGTTTTAGGTGAAGCAGGTGGTTTCAATTGATCAACGTAAGGTGGTGCGGTTGTTAAGCAAAGGCACTTGTCATTTTCAGGCGAGACTTGTAATATCCATACATATTGATTGCTCGTTCATCTATGCTTCTGTAAAAATTCGTATTCTATGACTTCACTGTTAATTAATCGCTTTTCAGTTTGCAATGAAACAACGAATCGATCTCAAAGAAAATCCAATAAAAGTCGGAAATGAAATAATGATCGATTAATTGATCTGAGTATCGATCGAATCAACATATTTTATGATGCACTTAATATATGAGCCTCACATTCCTCTATATGTAAACTTTATGTCATTAATGTTGCAATAAAAAGAGATTCGTTACACAAAATCTACTGGCGTTTTTTTTTTCGGGCGAAAAATTCTTCTTCGTTAATGCCCAGAGAATTACTGTGCCCTGTCAGGCAATGGTGAATATAAAAGGATGGTATGACGGCCAAGATGAAATCTCACAATAACAACTAAACAATCGACTATTAACTACCAATATTATTATTGCCTTCACCCCTTAACTTGGGCTTACCAAGCCCGCTTCCTCATCTTTCCGAGGTATGCTACCAGACTAGCCTTAGAGGATATAAGCGCTTGACACACCGATATCTTCCTAGATGTTATTGTATACACCAAATATGCGTCCAGTCACCTCTGTAGTGCTCAATGAAGCATGACCTACCCTGAGGAAAAGACCAACGCCTAACGATTCATCTTCACGTTCCCTTTAATTATCGGCTAGCTCGAACGGAAGCCAGTAAACTCCACTCGACCCTTTGGTGACCTAAAGCCGTCCGTTGGACTCGCTTCTCTCAAGGGACATGGCGAGCATCACAGTTTTGGAACGAGACATGGGGGATGAATACCACGCTTCCCACCTCTGTGTCGACATCCAAGGATCCTTGCCTAATCCTGAATGAAATAGAGAATCACTAAAGAGCAAATCTCTTTTGGGTCCAATGTTCATTAACATTGATGTGGAGCTCTTTCACCAACCAGCTATAGAGAGTTGGCAAAATCCGAGTAACCAATGATATGGCGACAGTCAGTAGCTTCCGCTGTCAGAAAAAAAAATACCGACGACATGGTCTCCTTGTCCTCCATACTACCCCATTTTTCATTGTACAGTATATTTACTAAAATCAGCTTAACTATATAGAAACCCTAGCTTGTAGTGAGCCTCTTTTATGGCTCTATGCTACCGTTTACTTTCCACGTTCACATTTTCTCTGTCAAAAGAATGGCATGGAACAATTCCTTCAAAACTGAGGCAAGGTTTTCAACCTATTATTTCTTCCGTGACCTGTCAGTGCTTCATTATTTGCCTTGTGTATGCGGATCTTGCTCATTTGGGGGATTCCGAACCAATTATTTGGTTGGAGCAAAATTATGGCTACGGCAAATCGTGCCATTTTGAATTTTGCAGATGCAATTTGTGATAGATTTTCATCGCTTTGACAGTTATACTTTAAACGTATTTTATGACAACTCATCTTATTGTTGGTGTTCTTCCTGGAACTTAGTTTACAATGAGCTTACAATTGTTGCAAGCCGGTCGAGCTGATCAAAGCATATAAATTACACCGCCCTTCACGATTTCAAACCTAGACGTGGAACAACGCTAACAGCTTGAACTGCTATCAAAGCATAGTCTGTAGAAGGGCTTCGAATAAATTACTGGCAAAAAGTTCGTAAGGCTTCTTACTGGATATACTAACCTTCCTGATCTAATAGAAAAGGTCCTTAACGCCTGTCAACAGTTGGTCACCTAAAGGCTATAAGGAAAACTGCTCTCCTAGAAACTACTCACTATATTGCAAGAAGATTCATCATCCACTATTTAACTAACCTTCGCTGATTTGAAATATGCCCTCAAATGGTGAAAAAACTCGAAAATGGCGGCTGCTACACCGGTTGCACGATCTGCTGAGTGGTAGTCGTTATGAAGGCTGTTGCGCTCTTTTTTTCATAGAGAAAATTACTTACTTCCCGACAGCATTGTGATGTACGAGCAAAGGAGCATACTACACAACAGCCGACAATGTTTGGCGCACTGAATGGGTAGATAAAATAAAAGGATAAATCTCTCGTCGTTGATCAGTCCCTGAGGGATGCGCCATGCACCATTTATTCGACTTTATCAAGCATCGTTTGGAGGTGATTGCACGCATCTCTGGCCTTTACAATGACCCGCGGTGGCCTACCGATGTATCGATCCAGTGCTGTTATCCTCTCAGAGAAGTCTGGTACCAGTTTGCCGACGCCGAAGGGATGCAAGGCTTGGTTGGCCATGTGCGTGGGGATTGATCCTGTGTGTGTTGCAGAGCGCCTCCGAGCACGCGCTACCAGAGCCATTGAGCTGGTATTGAGTGAAAAGCGGCTATCGACACTTTTCCGTCTCTGGCAGGTGAAATCGTCTACTATGGCACGATGACTGCTAAAGGAACGAGCAGAATACGTAACCAACCACATCAAATCAGTGAAATACTTCAACGGTGAATAATTGCTTATCCAAATATGGTTAAAGGAAAAGATCCAATCCTCTTGTACAAGGGCGGTCAACCACAAGTGACGCAAATGACATCGTTCAAGATGAATCAACCACCCTACAAAACACTGCCTCACCGAAATATCTATCCAACAACCACGCCGTTGGTAAACATGCCTTCGAGAAATTCGTCGCTTCTAAAACATTACAGCTGTACGTAACAGAAGGAAACGAACGGCTGCCTGGTTCGAAACGAGTTGGGGATCCCAATGTTCGCCTTTAAGAAAGTTACGTTTGAGTTGATTTATTGTATCCAAAAGAAGCCGATCAAAATCCTCACCAATCCTTGTATCAGCCTAATAAATCCGGGGATGTATACTGCCTTGCCACGAGTTAAACTCTGGTCCCTGCTTCTTTTGCGTCAGATTGAGAAATGCTTTATGCATTTACTTGGAGTTATTCAGGCATTCACCCGTGGTTGTGTCCACATATATGCAGATTGTATACTACATGCAATCATCGATCAAGATTCTGTTGGTAAGTGAGTAAAGAGGTCGTGGGAGCCGATTCTGAGTCTTCACCTCGTCTTTAACAAGGCAATCCTAGATAACAATGGGTGAGAAGAGTAGAGTAAGTGGGTTACATTCCCTTGTCCTCGAGGACATTCCAGTATGACAAAATTGAGTGAAGCGAAAGCGAAGAGTTGGTCAAAATGTCGGAGCTATTTTAAGCCGTCTAAATGTTGGAAGGAAGTTAGTAGCACAATGGTAGTTATTCTGTTCATTACGCGGACTGTCCAGTCTATCCAAGCACAGATTCGAGATTGCATCAAGCCCACCAAGCCTCGAACCCCTTAAGGGATGGAAAAGCCAAATTTGGCTGGGACAAGCTCACTTCCTCCAATTCACGTGGTGACGCCCTGGCACGGCAACCCTAGAAGTTCAGGGAGAATCGATTGGAATAGTATTCAACGATATTCGTGACAAGGGCTGGAAAATCCTCAAAAGTTAGCGAAGCCACTCGCAGAAATGTTTGAAGACCTTCGTAATTGGCGGATCCCAGGAAACGCAGCAGTGTGAAACGTTGGGTATCTAATCATAGAAAATAAAGTCTGGAAAGATTTAACAACCAGTACTAAACATGGCATCATTATTGAAATATGACGACTAGCCGAAGCAAGAAGTCGTCTGCTCAATACCCTTTATGGTAAAGAAGGAAAACATCCTTGGAGCATATGGTAAGAAAAGGGTGAGCAATGTTGATGTTCTCATTAGTGCTTAGCTGGGAAGATTGACACCTTTGAACAATTGATCTCTGAAGCGTTTTTTCCTTCTAGAAATATGTGGGCCAGTGTCACTCATGACAATGTATGTCATCTATTACCCAACAGAATGCTATGACGAAGAGAGAAGGAAATGTTCTATACGAACATGAAGGTTTACAGAGAAGATCACACTCTCCATAAGGTCGTGAGAGGCGACTACAACGTTGAGAACCCATGCAGAAGAGCGTCTAGAAATTTTCACATAGGCTCAAAGAGTTAGAACAGAATGAACGTGGTAGGCGGCCTGATCCTTCTCGACCATCAGGAGCATTCGTTGTAATTCACAATTTCAGGAGCCCTCCTCCCGACGTTGGACATGGAAGTATCGCACAGAAGAATATAATAGATGTCTCTTTTCTCCCCGAATTCTACGAGGAATAAACCATTAACCACGGCAAATGAATGCGGACCAATTTCAACAACTTCTATAGAAACATTTTCTTCAATTGAATTTCAAGAAAACGACATCCGCAAGAAACGGAATCGTATCTGATGCCTCATTAACACTCAAATATCCGTACAATACGGTCACACGTGTCTTGCTCAAAAAAGCAACTTCTTGGGGTACATGACTCTAGAACTTAGTTCTAGAAAATAAAATGAAGCAAGGTGCTTAGAAAGCCTTCAAGAGCATAGAAGATGTCGAATGGAAGATAAAGAACACCAGACTTTGTTTCATCTTTTTCGACTTCACCATTCTCCTTATCATGGAAACCCAGTCACTACGTAAGAAGCATGAAAAACTTAGTGTTATCGAATGCACAGCCGAAATGACGATTCTAGAAAGGCGACTAGATTCCCTCGGGATGTCAAACGTCGCGCAGGGACGAAACGTACCAATGGCCCGATGATCAGGGTTTTTTACGAAATCCTAGAAGAAAGGTACAATTCTCAGCGAGTCCCTAGAGCGAGCAGAATTCACCGGGCAACATTTGCCCGCGATAGGCAGAAGTAGAGATTACTGACTTCAATTCAGGTCAACCGCGGATCGACAAGAGAGAAAGCTGACATAAAAACACACCGCGTTACAGCAAAAAGCACACAAAAAGACGATTTGAAGATATGATTTTTTTGGCATAATATGATAAATCATGTTGAATGTTATCTCTAAATGGTTGTTTCTAACCAAAAGGATTCTGAGTGTGTGCAAAATTCGGAACATCAGATGGAGTTCGAATCCTCTATGACCCTTACCACAGAGCTCACCTGCCACCCACCACACCAACCGAAGCTCTTGTTTTGCCCTTTCCTAGCCATGTTCCTGCTCTGTTGATGCCATCAGAAACTACCTGTTAAAAGCAATGATCTAGGGAGCACAAACAGATATCGGCTCAGTTAATTTGAAGCTGCACTCCAAATCCCAATGTTTTGCTTTTTCATTCTTATCCTTTTATTTATTGTTTCT